TCTGGCATAAGACCTGGCCATTTTGACAACACGTCGGATATGATGAAGGGCCCGAATTCCGGGTATCTCGTGTTCTCTCCTGAATCCAGTGAAGTGCATCGCATGTTGAGCAGACATCGGAACATACGCCAAGGTTATGCGGAATTTCATTGCGGAAACGCAACTGGATCGAGTTTTCATTGTTCTCCCACTGAGCTCGCACCGCAAGTTGAGGCATGATGTCGTTCAAGGGGAATGCAGGGCGTGAAGGGGAAGAATTTATGCTCTTTACCGAGTGATGAGGTAGTGAGGGTGCATCAAAGCGGATGTTGTTGCTGCGTGTTTCAGAAGCTAATCCCCGGTTGTTAAAGCCCTGTATTGGGGCTTTTCGAGATTTGACATGTTATAAACATTGTCATAATATGGCAAAGATGTCCCTTTTATGTCGGGTAACGACAGCGGCAACGGAGAGGTTCACGCATAGAAGCTTTACAAATTGCATTTGTTTTGACTCACATGTACAAAGAGGTTAGAGAGCAAAGTCTCCCCGCGTTACTCCTTTGGCATGATTTGGGCCATTGATTCGTGCTTGGAGAGTAGGCTTCAAAACGGCTACACAATACACAACTTCAGAGCAATGGGGCTGGAATTTGTCAAGAAAATGGAAACAGATGAGATGCCGAGTAGAAACAAAATGGAGTATACAACGGTGGAAACCATTACAAAGGCATTGGAAAAAAAGGAACACCATGATGAGCTGATGAGATAAAGAAAGTAAACCGGACATCATCAAGAACAATTTTGAGCAGACGGAAAGCTGCAAGTTCATCTTCGGCGGTTGAGCGGCGAGGAATTGATAACGCTGTCGCTTGGCAAGTTGTTTTCGTCTTTCTCGGTTTCGTTACCCGTGGTGTCGACGACGTCTGCTTGGCTGAGGGACTCGGTTGGAGTACTGCTAGCACCGCCATCAAGAGTTGACGCCGACGTACTTGCCGTGTTGCTTGCTCTGTTGCGTCTCCTGAAATGGAAGTTAGCAACGTTCAATATACTGAATCAGACAATTTCTTACAATGTCAGTGGTACTCGGCCGCCGCTTGGTGTCCCAAGTTTCGTAACAACTTTAGTCGCAAGGCTCGGGGCATCGCCTTGGCATCTGCTAATGGCAGTGACCTGTAGAAATAGAATGAATACAAAGGAAAAGAAAATCACATGAGTAGTTCAGTGCGAGGGTTAGTTCGGAATAATAGCATATAGGCGTGTACCTCAGTTTCCCACATGTAGTTGACTCCATCGTAGTCTTTGATGATACCAACCAACTGGACTTCACGACCAACTTGGCAGATGTTCTGGGCCTTCTCCATATTACGAACGGGTGGTATGTGATGTTTTGTGTACCAGGTGACGGGGATCTTTGTCTGGAAGTAGAAACAATCAGTGGCTGCACAACGAATTCGAAAGACGGGGATACGTACTATGGGATCGTAATCTTGTGATTGAAGGGTAATGACAACGGTCGACTTGCCCTTGTAAAGTGGATCTTTAACAGTATCTCGTGCGGTGACATACCCAAGTGCTATCATGACGGTTTTATCCATGAGGTCTTCCGCGAACGTTTTGCCAAACCGCGCCACGTCACCGAGATCAATTCTCGTAGAATTTTTGTAATGTAAATGATCGTCTTGATCATCATTCGTACCAATAAACTTGCAAGTCATAGAATACACGTTATTTGGCTTAACAGCGTTGGCACTGGATCCATAGGAAAGAAGCCTGATAGGATTCGCGAATGGGGTCCCACCGTTCATTCCAGACGTAGCGATTGCGGCATGCGAAGAGATAAATCCCTTGGAATTGATGAGAAGAGAAGCAGCCTGTAAAAACATGCGTGAGCTGTCTATTGCGCCGCAGGGAGGATAAATAATGACAAACTTCAACACCTGCTTGACCGAAATAGTTCACACGGATTGGGTGAGACATAGAATTTGTATTGGAATTAACCATGTTGGTGAGGATTGGTAGTAAATCGTTTAATAGAGAAAAATTGAATCGAAAAGGGAATAAATCGTTTAAGAGTGAAGGATTGAATCTGAAAGGAAATTAGGGAAATAATAAGCTGAAAGTGATAAGAGAAGTGTACGTCTAGCCATTCAAGCATCATTGAGGCCTTATATACAAAACGACAGAAACCGCTGGACTGAGTGATTGGGATTTGTCATATTGTGAGAGGTGGCTGGCGAAACACGGTCATCGATCAATATGGCACGTACCACTGCGCGTTGAGATCATAATTGGTGGAAACAGAGGACAAACTCAGTAGCCTTCGTAATGATTTCAAATTTAGCGGATTAAGCGTATGGCAGGATCGCAATTTTAACGTGAGCCGTGTCGTGGGGAGTGTATTCATATGGCGGAAGCTGGTTATTGAATCGACGCAGTAGCCTTCGTAATAATTTCAAAGTTAGTGGATTAAGCGTATGGCAGGATCGCAATTATAATGTGAGCTGTGTCGTGGGGAGTGTATTCATATGGCGGAAGCTGGTTAATGAATCGATGCAACTGGCCGAGGCTCAAGTGGTTGAGCAATGGCAGTTTCAAACGGCGACCGCTAATGCTGTTAGTTGGAGCGACACTCGTGGTGAAATGATTGTGCTCAGAGTCGTCGCGTCATCACTTAGCTTTCATGCGCATTCAATGTGCGCATCGTACGAATTGAACCGGTATTATAGAACTGATCAAAGCAGAGTTGGTTGACGACGGATGGACTCGTTACTTATGGTATGCGACGCATAGTGAATCAACTGGTATTGGTTTAACCTATCAATCAAGAACAGCGGGTCCAGTACAAACGGGACCGGATAACGTCTGAAGTGTTTGTAGTTGGAACAGGTTTTAACTTAAGGGAATCGGTACAGGCTAAGGGTAGATCCAAAGAGCGGAAGGTCATGAAGGTTTTCACAATAAGCGATTCTTCTAGATCAATCTTTGATCTCATGGTAATCAAGCTTTTGACGGTTTTCAAGAGCTCTAATCTTATTTAGTTTCTTTACCTCTCAAAAATTTATTACTATTGTCAATTTCTATTCATTCGAAATTTGTACTCATCCAGAATCTATTATCAACAAAATCTTAGTTCTTATTTAAAATTCTCTTCATATTAATAAGCACTTTTTTGTTACCCACCTCTCCCACCCTTTATTTTCTTTATGTACAAGTTAGTTGTGTTCTGTAGCGTACTTGCGTTTTAGCTTATCTAACAAACCTTCCTAGCATCACGCTCCGATCTTCTCACAAGACCAAACCTATTCCCAGTCAGAAAAACCTTCCTAGCATCACGCTCCGATCTTCTCACAAGACCAAACCTATTCCCAGTCAGAAATTTCGAAGAGTTGTGGGAGCAGAGAGCGCTCTCATATTTGCGAGCTTTGCGAGCGCGAGCGGCGCACTGGCAGACGCATTTGTAATTAATAATCATATTCGACAGTTATTCCCACGCCCCCATCTGACACTTACGACCAAAGCAGTAGACCACATAGCAACCATGTATTTAGGTCATATCCCACCCTTCCGCTCACATCCACACCCATCCAATACCTAAGAATTTTTCACTACCAACCCCACTCCGAGTAAATCGATCGATTGTGTGAAATGCTAATCAAAGACATGATGAACCAGCTTTGCGAGCTGGATCCCCACGCGCACGCCAATTTGACACTCAGCCAGCTCACGACGTTTACCATACTGGCTGCCAAATTTTTGAAGCGTACCAACCGCGCGTTTATCACTTCGCCGAATCACGCGCCATACGAATTCTTCAGTCAAAGCCTAGAGGGCGGACAGCCGGACTCGTTATGGGGACACCTATGGAACATCACATACGATGCTATTCCGATGTGTGTTTACGACACGACCGCATTTCAAGAACAAGGCATACCCACACACACACGCAGAAAAGTCGCCATTATAATAGCGGAAAACTACTTCCATCGCACCCACCAACCATTGTTTCAATTGCAATGCGAGCAAGACCGGAAGCCCCTTGTCACTCCAGCGCCGCAAACCCAAGTTCGGGTATTTATTTGACATTTTGGGGATCCAGACCATGGAATGTGTCAATTATTATTGTCGTAGTGAGTTATTACCCCAGATTATACTAAATGCAGCACATTCACACCCTGACGTGTTGTTTTGTCTAGTTTGCAACACCACCTACACACCTACGTATTACAGTCACGGACTTGAACGTGAATACTACACTCCCGAAGAAGGTGGCGTGCAGGATCATTTTCAAGTCACTCAACACTACTTTATGTCCCATCGCCTCGCCGATCACTTCAACCACCTCCAGAACTTAGCGATGTAAGTTGTTATATTCCTTATACTATAAACATCAGCATACGACTCACCAGTCTCATCTTCACTCCAGAGTATCCATATACAACACTGTCAATTCCTACAATCAAAGTCACGCCAACGTAAAGAAAAACTACCGAAATGATTTCAACAAGGCCAGGTACACTCGACAAATGAGTGCAAATGTATGTTCACTCGGACTCGACATCCATCGCCTAATGGAGGTTTATGCCATTTGAGGCGTGCGTTTAAGGGCGAATGCCAAAGGCGCGGACGATCACCGATTTGATACGGCAATGATGCAACATACCGCGTGGTTGGAATTGGAGGGAAATGGCCATAACGGCCATGTTTGCTCTACCTGCACTGAAATCAAGATTGACGCAGAAAGTGGAACAGGCACAAGTACGTATATGTAATTGAAATCAACGATTACGCGTGGCTAACAAAGCGCACCAGTACTCAGATCGATGGTAACGGACGGCGTTACACTCGGCATTTGGGCATGCAGCGCCTCACAAGAACAACTGAAAGCCCTTGACCCGAACTCCACCGCCGTATGCTGCACTGAGCCGTTAGAAAAGGTCAATCATCGGTTCTGCCCAACACACACCGAACTCTTACACGACATATGTCAAGCCCAGCCTTGCATGAACAAGGCTATCGAAAATACCAAGACATGTCACCTTGAAGATCACATTGCAGCGAACGCAACCTTCAAAGAACGCAACACGTCTCTATTTGGACTTCCTCGACGTTTCAATCGACCACATGCAAACCTTCATATGGATCCTAGTGTGCTACTGGAGCCGGAGACGGGTGAGGTAGTGCTAACTGAGGAGGACCGCATGTATTCCGAGGTTGAAGAGAGAGCACACGAAGGAGCTCGAGACGGCGGAGCAAGTGCAGACGCAGCTGCACAAGGTGCAGGTCATAAGAAGAGAATCCTAATGTCGCGTGTCCGCACACACGACGAGCAACTGATGGTCTCAACCTGCGGCCTCATAGTAGGCAGAAAGACGTTTTACAAGTCGGAATCTGTACCAAAAGTGAAGGTAAGATAGCAAACATATCATTTACCAATGTTTCACAGTAGCTAAACTACCAGATTTTATAATTCAGGACTTCATACGCGAGGTATTCCCCGACAACATGCCGCAGGTCATATTTTATGACAACGCGTGTGGACTTTACTCTCACATACAAGCAAACGCCGAGGACCGAGAGGCATTCAAGAACACCATGTTGCCTGTCGACACGTTTCACATCAAGTCCCACAAGGAGTCTCACACTACGTGCCGCCTCAACAACGATCCTCATCTATTCCCTGAACTGAAAAAGCCAGATGGTGGCTGGAGGTTCAATGCTTCGGCTGCCGAGATCACCAACGCGTGGTTTGGACGATTTGACGCCATGTGTCGAAACATGGGTCACATTAGATACAATTTTTTCTTAGATGAAATGATCCGCCTCCATAATAATCGGTTGATGGAAAAGCTAGAGGCTCGGCCAAATGTATCCTTTTTAGGTAATTTTGACATGTCGCCTGCGGCAGACTTATCGTGATGTCTTATATATCTGTATCTCATTGTATTAGTGTATAGATTTCATCAAGTTGTTTAGTCTGATTATTCGTTTGCCTATTTTCATTTCTTTATGCAATCAATTTATTTGTCCTCGCTCCAAGTCTCATTACCTTGTCATGAGTTGAGGGTTAATATAACATTGGCCAATCTCATAAGATAACATAAGAAAAACAACCAATTAAAGCCTGCGACCATATCATGACTTCATCAATGAACCACAGTTCATATACAGAGAAATCAATTGAGACCACGTTCAGGCGATAGAGATAGAGATTTATCAATAATTACATGACATATTCAAAACTGTGAAACAATGAGGAACAAGATCTTGATTGCACTCGGCGCGCATCCTCTTTGTTGCCAAAAGGGTTGCGGCGCTTGACTCCACTGTGTCGCATCCTGTGTTCAATCTATTATTAGGATGATATGAATGGTAATGATATTGAGGTATAATGGGCTTACAATGGGCCATGGCGAATTACACTGTTAGTATTTGTAAACTCATGAATAACCGGTTGATATGACGAGGGGCTAAAGATCACTTCTCAGTGGCTAGATAATATACCATATGATTTAGATGTTGAACATACCCAGTAACGACAATTTCCTCATCCGGGGACCTGATTTATTTTTGACCCAGGCTCAGTTCGATCTAATAATTTTTTTGTTATGGTGGTATAACTAAGAACAACATACCCAGCGGTTATATTGTAATCAATTGAGTTGGCGGTACCTTCATATTCGGTTGTGTTTGTAACTTCAGCCCTGAACAAAAGGTCATTTGTTAGACAAGAAATTCCGAACTATGATGATATTACTTTACCATACCCTTCCAATCCGGCGTCAGATGCGACGCCGGTGCCGATCATCAGTTGCTCAATGGCATTAGCGTCGCCCAACGTGACCCCAATGACCCTGAGATCATATTGTGCAAGCCTCTTGTACGTTAGATACAATCTACCGTAGAGTAGTAGGATAATAAACTTACTCTTCGATGTGCGCTTCTATTTCGTTGGCTAACACGCCTATCTCTTCAACCTCGCCTAGCATTACGTCGTCATTATCGATCGTTGGCATGGCTTGGCCACTGGAACATCATATGGAAGGCCAGTCAGTTTTCAAAATCAAGGTAAAATTATGTTACGTGGTACGTTGATTGAGAAACTTACTCTTCGTTGTTTGCTTGTATTTCGTTGGCTAATACACCGTTTACTTCAACCTGGCCTAGCATTACGACGTCATTATTGTTTACCGTAGGCAGGCCAGGCGCACTGTTCAACAAGCAAGAAGTGGGTTAGTCTATAAAACTAGACATATTATAATAGTAATAATATTATAAATATTACCCAGCGCCACCCAATGGAGGTAATTCCGCGGCCACGATTACTGGACCTACGACATTTTGAACAGGGAACAGAACGTTCACACTGTAAAGCTTGCGATGACCCATCACTCGACGCCAATCCTTGTAAGGACGAGCTGATCGAGCCAACCCAGCTTGACGCGCTGGGCAGTTGGTTTGCATATGTCGAAAACCACCACACCAGTAGCACATGTCACATCCTATAATCACCTCAGGCAAGGCGTTGGGTGGAATAGGAATAGGATTCAATTCGGATTCTTGGCGAGTACTCATATCGAGAATTATAAATAATATATTTATAAGTAAATATATTAATGTAATGGAACAAGAACGATTAATATGTATGGATGGCAGTTCTAGGAAAAATGGGTGCCATTAAATATGGAATATACCAACCTCGATCACTCAGGAATTGGCCGATCGGAAAGCCAAATACCATATTGCGAGTCGCAACGCGTCGTATGGTATTTGGCCATGTTTGTTTACATGCGATATGTTGATATAATATATCCTTCATTGTAAAAGGATGATCCCAACATATTAGGTAAACCAAACTTTACGAACCCCTTTGCATACTGAGCGTATGCAAGCAACTCGTATGCAAGCAACTGATGCGATACTAAAGGACGTTAACTCTGGGTATGACGAAATATGTTCATGTCTGACGCAAAGAAAAAGCGCCGAGATATATTAACGATTATTATGTGATGGTAAACATAACATATAAAAGTATGTGATGGCTTACTTTGCGGCGAAATGGAAGTAACATATAAATAAATCTATGTAAGTAACATGGTTCTCAACCTAACCTATTCAGTATCAGGTGATCAAAGTAAGAATAACGCGAAAAGGCAAAGATACAAATTGCGAAGCGGAGAAATCAAGGGCAACATTGACATTTGATAGTCTTTATTTACAATAAGAAAGACATTCACGCAATTGTAAACAAATATCTAAGGGCTATTGAGAGCTATTGAGACACATGATTTCCGTGAAATCACCAGATTTTCCCATCTGCATTCTAAACTTCGTAAGTCCAAGGTGTTTGCATATCATATTGCAGGCATGTTGTTCCCGAAAGTGGATGAAAGATCGGTCGATTCTGGCGACCATCTCAGCGCTCTCGTCGTAGCGAGGCGGTTTCCTACAGATAAGGTGTCCGTTATCCGTTAATGTTTATATCTAAACAAATCACATATATACGGAAGTAGTTAAAAGGAAATAAAGAGCCATATCTAACCCTTTGGTATACACGACCAAGTTGGTTATTTGGCCATGCACGTCACATTCCAGACTAGTAATGAGACTTTGTTGACCAGTGACTTCGTAAGTATAATGTACCCAAGCAAATATATGCTCAGTCCACGTTTGTTTGACGCTGGGAAGACTATGGAAGTCATACTCCCATATGTACCGGTGTGTAGTTTGTGCTTCCGTCCTCGTGATTTCCGGAGCCGTTTGCCCCTCACAAAGTATCCATTGGGGGTCTTGATCAAACAATCGGCATGCTGTCTGCATCACATACAATGACGGGATCTACAATACAATGTCAAAAGTTACCTACATGAAATAATATGATCACGATTTTGTACCTTCATAGACAATGAATCAGAATACAATTGCCTGTGCATATCATTTTCCTTGCCTCTCTTTCGCTCTTTTCGGCGTTGATGAATAAGTATTGATTTTCGAAAAGCTGACAACATCATTTCTCCAAATCGGTGGCTTTGAGCACGCTCAAAGCAATGAGCACGGCTATCCTCGTCTTCCCACAACAAGTTGTGTTTGAGGGTGTAATAGCCAACAAGTTTGGGATGATCAATATAAATCCTTTTGCCTACCCAAAAACCACTGTCTCTAGGTCCTAACTGGACCTGTGACTTGATATGGAAATCGACGAAATCGTTTTGGAACTCCAACCATTCATAGGGATTGTACGGCGGTCGGCACACATCAAAGACCTGGGTAAAGAGACGGTATATGCAACCTTTACCCCTATCTCGTAAGTCAGGGATAACTTCGTAATATAAAACTCTTTCATCACGAGTCGATCGAGCAGATTGAGACATATCTGCAAAAGAAAGAGTTGAGATATGAATAACGGCAACAAACAGTGATTAAAAGGAGGCTGGTACCCACCCAAAGACAAATCGTTTTCGATATTATTATCTAATTCATCAAAAACAACCCGATTAGTTGGCAGGCGAGTGAGTGCATTGTGGTTTGTATAGTATACTTTACTATATATAAAACACCTAACCTTCTTGATCATCCTCAAGGGTTTTATCCTCGCTTAAGATTTCTTCCTCTGAGTGATCGGGATTCACCACGTCCAGAGGTCGTTCAGCACCTGCGTCATAAGGTATGATAAGGTATGTTTGGAACAGTCAGACCACCCAGAAAATATTATATTTTGTGTAGTGTAAATACCTGAAGAAATTCTGTGATCATCATCGACTGCTAATGTCTGCATTGTCATTTCGAGACTTGGGTAGCTTTGCACGGCCCGCTGTTGTCGAGGTACATTCTCCAAAGGAACAGTAGCGCTGCGATCGTGTTCGCTGACGTCTTTGAAAGGTGTTTCGGCATCTTTCTTAGTAGTCGCCATTGAATAAATTAAAAATAAGTGATAGGAGAAGGTGAAATTGGAATGTAACAGGACACCGAACATAAATTGGTATCGTTATATAGAGCTTGATATAATGCATCAATAAATTTTGTCGTTTAAATAAATATGACGACATTCATATTGAAATGAAGAAATAATTGCCTCACGCTACTCACGCGGTCGATCACCTTATATTCATCGCGTAAGTGATCGAGTGATTGAATGAATGGTGGAATACATTCAATCACTCGATCGCGTAAGTTATCGAGTAATTAAACAAATGGTAAGAGTTGATAACATGACGCTATAGTATGGATATAAAGTGTGGATAATTACATTGTTTAGCGACGAAGTGCGAATTGGTAGGTAGTCAGAAGTGGCAAATATAAAGAACACAATTTTAATCAGCTTGTTTCACTAAACTAAAGAAGGCTTTGAAAATCATCGCAATCACCACGCGTCTTTCGCTGAACAGGGCTGCGACACAATCTAGTCCGGGTCATGGATCGGCAAACAACATACAATTGATTGTTTCATTACGAGGGGTGGGATTATCACAAAGCAATAATTACACATATACAAGGTGAAAGCAGGGGTTAAAGAATAACCAGTACTTATTTACAAATTATAATCAATGGTGGAAGCGGAAGCGCGTAAAAGTTGCATATATTAAATGAGATAATTAAAGAGAGTGAAAGATAAAAACCTAAGCAACTCGTCGCACCGCCTTGGTCTTGGTGCGCCGTTTGTCCAATTGTTTCCATTCCTTTCCGAAGTACTCTCTCCCTGCAATCACACTGGGGTTACCTTGATTGACATAAGCGGAGAGCCTCCCATTCTCTTCGAGTGGCGTAAGCCATCTGAGGTATTTGGAGACGGTGGACTGTGTGTACGTATAAGAGTTACCGTACACCCGATCAAACGCTTTTTGGTTTGATAGGTCGTGAGGTGCCAGTGTTAATTGTACCAGCTGCATAAGGGATCTCATAGAGACCGCAGGGTTTGTGGGCCATACTGTTTTTGAGGTCGATAGAATTTCGATCTCTGGCTCTGGCGACCCACCGCCATCGGAGGGTGGAGGTGGTGGAGGTGGTGGAGCGATAGCGTGTGCAGTCGGTTGTGGTAGCGAAGGAGTTGGAGTTTGTTCATGAGGTTGAAAGATATCGTTAGGCTCAGGAAGATCAGGTGTTAAATGTCAATTGGGTGTAGGTGTACCATCTTCATCGTCCAATATGGTTATTTGCAAATGGAGGGGAGTCGGTGCGGGCATGGTGGTGTTGAATTGGTTGTATGCAGCTGGGCTAATGACCTTTTGGAGATCCATCTTCTGAACGTTTGTCATAGCTTTTACCAAGTCCATGTGGAAATCGATATCCTTGCAGGTCTCTGGTTTGACGCCAGGAAATAGAATGAGAATTCGCCGGCATAATGGGTTATACTCCTCGACGATCGATGTTTGCATCTTGACCTAATACACACCACACCCACGTTTAGAATATAACTAATTATCTAGTTATAAACATACATATTCTGACTTACCCAGGTTTTTTCCTCAGGAATCCAAACTTGAAGGTCACCATTCCATGTGTCACCCAATTTGAGTCGAACTTGTTCCATTAGAGTAGTCGACTGATTAAGCTTCAAGGTGGGCCATCGCGGGGCGTATACACGCCAGGTTTCACACCCCAAGGGGTTATCCTAAGAAGGAAGTATGAGATGGCTGGAACATGTCGTGTATGCGGAAACAAGGGAATGACTTACATCCATTCCTGCCCATATGACAAAAGTTGCAGTCTTACTTGCCACTGAGGCGTGATCCTTGTCGTCACGCTCTTCCGCTTGTTTTTGTAAGGTCGTCTGTCGGAACCTGTTGATCTGTGCAGCGCTGAGTGGGCTAGAGAACACATGGCTGGCTTGATAGACGTCTGCTGAAAGGGATTGAGGTGGTCCCTGCGTTAGAACAGGTTCCGCATCACCTTGGGTGTCATTTTTGATGCTGGGGCTCTGTATACGCTGCCTTTGGGTCGCGTTCAGGGAGACGTTGCTGTTGCCGCCGACACGGTTTTGCTGTTTGGTCTTGGGCATCGCATTGTGTTTTGAGCACCGTATGTCGATCGGTTTGAGCTGTTCGCAGCACTATCATATATATATCATATCAGCTGTTCAGCATTAAGTCATTGCATCATTCTGAGCTGATTTTTTACTTACGTTGCGGCAACACTTGATGGCACATTCGCCATTTTTCCGCGTGGTATGACCTTTGGCGAATTTGCCTTCGTATCCCACACATTGTTGGATCAACGGCACCGATTTCTTCTTAGGTTGATTTATTGTTTGGGGCATAGTCTGGGCGTCATTTGGGTTAGCTCCTGGATCGCCGTGTATCAATTGGGCGACTTGCATGCCGAAATCGAGTTCTTGTATGTGTGATCAATAGGATGTTCGAGCTCGTACCGACAGATTATGTTGAAGTACCGCGTTAGTAGCGTGGGCGAGGCTATACGATCGAAAATAATGTCCTTTATAGCACTGTAAGTTAGCCATAAAGGACGTAATGGTTCATCAATTAGATCAATCAAACATTATGAGTTTATATAATAAAACACCTACGGAAACACCAATGAGGGGCTCGTTAGATTGATTTGCGGGTTTGAAGTATTTCGTCGAGTGGGGTTTGCGACAATTTGGGCAAAGTAAGCCGCTGATTATCAAGGGTTCTGGTAGTGGTAAAAGTGCGTAAGGCTTCACGGTCTTAATAGGGAATGCGGAATATTCTCTATCTGGTGCCATTTTTATTTGCTGCCGTCGTTAATTAATCACAGGTCTGGTCTCTTTTATAATTTAAGATTGGTAAATCATTCTTCTTATTTATGCGTTTGCTCTCTTGCCTGCGGTCATCGTCATTTCAAAGCGTATGTGACTTGGGTGATTCCGCTGATCCTCGTTTGTTCTGCACGGTCTGAGAGTGAGGTCAGTTACTGTTCTCGTGCGGTCGGTCAGCTCACTGACTGATGATGGATCATTCGTATTGGTTCCAGCCAGTCTCGAATCCATCCATTCTTGGACAGATGGGATCTTTCATCCTTGCATGGACAAGACCTTTGCGCCCAAAATGTTAATGTTTTCCTGTGAGTGAACGGCGCTGTGGGATAGAGACGAATGTGTACAGTCAAACCTGTGCAAATGCATACCTGCGCAGATGCATAACCTGTGACAATGCATAGAAAAATTCCTAGATCTTGATACTTTTTACCGCCAAACTAGACAATGGAATTGCATAACCCGTGAAAATGCATAGGAAAAGTCTTCCACCCAAATTATGCAATTGCACAGGTTTGACTGTACACAGCTCAAAGTGTAATAAGATTGGCGGAGGCAACGGTTTGTACACTTGTACAGTCCTACTCGGGACATTTGTATTGCCCAAAGTGTATTCGGCGCAGTTATCAGATGTGTAGCCGCTCTCAATGAGAGCGACGCTTGCAACTTGCGCAACCCTTCTGTTGCTCTCTTCCCAGTCAGTAACGAAGTCGGCGGGGAACCATTTTTTTCGTATCCAACACCATCTCTTCTTTATGTGTGATCTCATCGAACTGTCACATACCTTGACACTCGATTAGCCCACGTTGGTGACATCTTCACTTCCATTTCCTCGAGACCGGTTTGTATCGGGTGTCTTCATGACTTTTTATGTTGGTCACATTTACTCACACGCAACAGGTTCCTCTCTCTTTCTCTCTCAGTTCGCTCTCAATCTCAATTATATGAATGATGTCAAATTGCTTCATTACATTCAAAGGAAAAATTACAAATCAGAAAGAAACCAAATAGAGAAAAACGAAAACGAGAAAGAGAAAGAGAAAAACGAGAAGGGTAGGAAAAATAGGAAACATTAGGCCGAAGTGTAGAAAATTATATTTAACATTTTGTTGGCTCGATTTATTCATAAAAACAATTTCTGTTAATCAATTCTTTGTATTGAGTGATTAACAAAAAGAGTTTTCAAAATCGAAGTCAAGTTCTAAGAAAGATTTTTCAATATTGAAACTAAGATCTTTTGAAAAATAATCGTTTTGTTCAAGAGAAGATTTAACAAGCTCAAAACTCATATCTGCGTAACAACAAGAGTTTTGAGAAAGAATTAAACCGAACGGATCTTTGAGTTCTTCTATCGGTGTCGGTAAAGAATGAGTATTCTGAGCGCTCGAATAAGATGAAGGAATATTTGAAGAGGGTGTAGATGGGAGAGAATAAGTCTCATCAACGCTAACAAACTCCGGGGCGCTTTCTTCACAGAGAGGAAGAGGAATAGTGAAAGATTCTTCTGCGTCTATACGATCTTCATCTGTCATAAGACTATCTAAGATTTCAGACCAATGAAGTTGTCTTTCGTTATCTCTGAATACCTTTGAGCTAGGTTTTGAAGAGTTTGAATTCGAAGAAGTTGTCGTGTTGAGGGATGATGAGGATGTGGTAGTAGCCAGTGTGGAAGCGGAAGACTTCAAAGTCTCTGAGATTTGATGTTCAAGGACCATCTCATTGAAGATATCAAAATTAGAAGACTCTGCTGAAGTAAGAGGCATGAATTCTACTGATTCAAGTTTAGCAGTTTCTTGTCGCAAGTCTTCTTCTGCTTCTTCCCAATCAGAAGCTGTCATCAAATTGTCTAAGATTTCAGTCCAATGAAGTGCTGGTTTGGATTTCTTGGAAATTGATGACCGAGTGGTGAAACGTTGTGGGTTAAGAGTGATCGGGGTTGGTTTGGAGGTTGAAACTGAAGAGGTTGAGATTGCAGATGCGGTGTGTTCAGCAAGTAAGTCATTGAAGATATGGAAGTTTTCAGATTCGTCTTCAGTGAGCGGGATGAAAGAAAGGGTTTCATTGAGTGAGCTCGTAGTAGATATTGGTTTGTTTTCTTGCTGTAACTCTGCCTCGGCTTCTTCCCAATCAGACGCTGTCATGAGATCATCCAAGATTTCAGTCCAATGAAGTGTTGCTTTCGATTTCTTTGAAACTGGTGCACCAAAAGGTTGTGATTTTGGGAGTGGTCTCTTCGTTCCTCGAGATGAGTTTGAGATGATTGAGGGAAGATTGGAGGTAGAAACTGAAGGGGACGAGATTATTGAAACATTGTGCTCGGCGAGTAAGTCATTGAAGATATGAAAGTTTTCAGATTGCTCCTCAGTGAGCGGGATAAAAGAAGTCGTTGGGTTGAGTGAAGTCGAATTAAGATCAACTTTTGTGACCAAAGCCATACCCAAATTGCAATCTTCATCCGAGATGCAAATTTTTGGAAGTCTTTGTCGACGAACGGGACGCTTTCTTTGAGTGGGTGGCGAAACACGAGGGGAAGATTTGGTTGACATTTCTTCTGAGACTTCAGACTATTAAATATAAAAAATGTCAGAAAAACAGAAACTTGAAGTGGAAAACCACGAAATGTGAAAGTTGACAAACCTGAAGGGTTGAAGTCGAATTCCATGTGATCAATTTTGGACTTTTGCAAAGGTTGATGAGGAACAATTCATAGGCAGTCTGTTGCAAGAAACAATAAAAAGAATTAGCTGATTGGCCTTCAAATACATGAAGAGACAAAAGAAAAGCGTACCTGTTGTGGGTTGTCCATTGATCCACATGAGACTGTTGCGTTGTGATGTGCTACAGCTCTCTTCATGACAAACCAAGGATCCATTCCAAATCGGACATGCAGGTTAAGGCCAAGTGATAGGTAAGACATATTGGTTATAGGAAGGTGAGTAAATATGAGATGGGTTGAAGAGATTGGATGTTAGAGGATAGAGTGATGTGAAGATGGAGTTGTGGAAGATTTGAATGCGGAACCAATGTTGGACGCGGAGATGCAAAGTGCGGAGTGAGAAGTGGTTGGGAAATGTTATCAAATGATGTGAATGATAGACGATGAACAGAAAGAGAAATTGGAGAGAATGATAGATATTTATACTTGTGTCCCGCTTGAAATTGTGTTCCGGTCTGCTGAAAGAATGCCTCAAGGCACAGAAGCAAGTTTGTTCCTGATGATAGTGCGATCGTCGGCACGGGAATGTGTCCATATTTTGCCACGGCCGAGCAATTTTGGCGGTCTCTTTCTGAAAAAGTTCAGCATTTGACTGAAATCACTTGAATCTGAAATCATCAAACCGATCACATTAGCAGTGTTCCATAAAACATCACTGCATTGGCCAAGTAGCAATGGAATCTTCTTTCACGTCCACCAGTCCACTTGACTCGAGCCACTGATGAAAATTTCCATCTTGACTAGAAATAATGATCACCAACCGGGCTCATCGCTTTCACGCGCACTGATCAACAGGTTGTGCTTTTATGCTTCCTAGATTGATAACCAATGCAACCGTTACTCGCCTTGACACAGATGCTCTTCGTGTACCCAAAAAAAGTTTCATTCGTGTGGCAGGCGAGCTCAGCATTTGATTGAAATAGTTCATTTCTGAAATCATCACACACCTCACATTATCAGTGTGCCAGAATATATCACGCATTGCACTGACAAGTAACAACTGAATCCATTTCACGTCCGCCAGTGCACTTGAGTCACGGATGAAGATTTCCATCTTGACCAGAAATAAAAACCACATCCTGACTCTTTACTTTTACGCGTCTCCATCAAGAAGGGGTCCTTCTAATCGTCCCGGATCAATATCCAATGCAACCGTTCCTTTCCACACCGCCCCGCAAACAGTGGTCCTCTACCAAACACCAGATTGGTTCGTGCGGCTGTTGCTGGCAATTATCACGAAGCCCAAGCTGACAAGCGCGCCAATCATTCCATTGCTCAGACCGAGATAGAGGAGAGGAATGAAATTCATGAATCCAAGCGTTGCGATCGAGAGTTAGCTGGCTTTGTTCTCTATGACTTTTCGATCAACGGCTCTTCATCCGGAACCGGCTGGCTCAGAACTTGAAGTTGAGGCAGGCGGTTGATCTATCCATCGATCCTAACTTAACTAAGTCCAATCTCGTGCCTCTCATTTGAAAGTTTGCGGCCGAGGCACGAGGGACTTATATGTAGTGTGGCTTTTCTTGGTGACAAGCACATCGGGCTTTTAGTGGGAGGACCCTATGTTATAGAAAACTTTTCTTCGTTTGATTACAACATTGTCTGTTGTTTAAATATATTAGACTCGAGCTTCTTCCAAATCTTCCATCCTATTACTTTTTTTTTATTCGTAATCAAAACAAAAAGTTTTCATTGAGCTCAATAAAGTGTCTTTTGAAATTTCGATTGCTGCGAGTTACCCAAAAGATCACTTAGGGGATACAAAGTTGAAATCCGGCCGAAAATCCGGCCGCGTGGCCAGAAATCCAGATCCCTTTTTTTTCTGGCCACGAGTTGAAATTTGGCAAAAAAAAAATCAACAGATCACTGGCCAGTTCCCAGGCCGTAATCATCTCAATTCAATTAATCTCAATTCACTCCTCAATAAAGCCACTTAATTATCATATCATGACTAATTCTGATACCCTTCAATCGGATTCCACCAACCCTGCCGTCCTCAAAACCGTACATTATCAATATGCGAGTATATAAATAGTCTTGGAATGAATTCCAAGAGTTTCATCCAGAATCTTCTTGATTCGGATGTTTCTGAAATCGCTTCAAGACGTCAATTCTGGGGGACAGAGACTGGTTGGAAATCAACCGAGAATGTTATTATCAGTATCAAGCGGCGAGTTAGTGAAAGTGACAAGCGAACCGGTACTCACAATTGGTCCGACTTCGTCTTAAAAGAGGTTAGCCTTGACTAGGATCCAGATCAAAGAATCTGAAGTTCTGTCTCACCGTGGGGTTTCTTGGTATTACGTTGTATCCAGGCCCACGAGATAGTTAATCGCGAAGAGCCACCAAGAGGCCATGCTCCTAAGGGGAACTTCTACAGTGCAGATCGCATTGGCTACAACTTTTTCGAAACAGATTCCGAAGACGCTCGAGAGAAAACAGTAATCAACAGCATGCCCTTCTTGCATTCACTAATATACCAGAAGATTGAACTAGCCAATATTGCTCGAATGAAACGACGCGAGGAAAGGATCAAACCGGAAGATTCTATTTCTCAGAAAGATGCCGACACATTTGATTCAAATGATACTGAGGAAAGGATCTTTCCGAATAATCCTGCCGAGTCTATGGAGGGTGTTTCACACTCCGAGAATATCTCTTCAAGCAGTATGGAAATTCATCGATTGAAGCATGTAAGTCTAACTTAAAAGTCCTCTAGTTCGATGCTTGATTTGTCTCGAAAGTTGACATATATTTTCAACTTATATTGGTCCAGCTTCCTGCAACTTTACTATCAATGATAGCATTCTCTTGTAACCGATGCTGTAATGGAATGCAAATGCAAAATTTGATTGCATTCATTGCGTGTGGTGTCTCCGAGAGAGTGAATGACCATCTCCATTTCCTCGGCTTAACCACTTCTTGTCAAACAGGACTGAAAGCAATGGATACACTCGGGCGAGCTTCGCAAAAGCTCATCAAACATCGTATGGAACAACCTTTCAATTTAAGACCGTTCACCACGCTTGACAACATCGACATTCAAGCACGTATTCACAATACACGAATCGAGGCATCTACGAAGCTTTTTCACGGTTCTTACGGCTACCTTCACTTCCTACCTCCTCATCTCATTGACGACATCAATCCAGAAGAAGCTAAAGTCAAATCTCTTCTTAAGTGTATTGACAAAAGTCAAGAAGAGCCTTTTGAACCGAACTCAATCTTTCCCACTCAAGAGGAGAAATTGCATTGGAAGCTTGTACTGAAAGCACAGCTTTCTCAAGCTTTATTAGATTACGCACTTGAAAAGGACTCTGTAGAATACAACACCTGTAAATCGTCTCTTGCGACTGTACCTCCTGCGGTGGATCCAATTAAGTGGCACAATCCGGATCTTATGATGCTAAAAATGATGAGTGCATCGGACAGTTCTGCTGGAGGTGTAGCTGACATGCTCGAGCAATGCCAAAAACAAACTGGTGAAGATGCTATCGAGCTTGCAAAATTTCTTCAAGTCCTTGAAGGCAATATGGGAACCTGCTTAAACTTCGAGTCACTCATCCGTCAACGTTTTCCAGCCAGTTCAACTCAAGATTCACTCAATAATATTCTCAATATGCCCGGATTAGCTCACACAATGTGGAATGTAGCAAGTAAAGTGATAAGCCATCATTGGGGCGATCCGAAGGACTCATCCGACACTGGTCTTCACCAAACCGCAGGCGCACTTTCGATGAGGACAGATAAACTCCCATCTCAACAGGACTTTAACTCCTTGATGCAAATGATTCATAAAATCCACACAGCTACTCTAGTCTTTTTGTTGAAGTCAGTTCTTTATTTTTTTTGTTTTCATTCTTGAGCTGATCATTAACTTTACTTGATAGGCAAATAATTGCAAATCACGATCCACCTGTGAAACTAGATCAACCTGGTATGGCTCAGTCCATAATTGATGAATGCTACGAAAGATACTTCAGTATTGAATCTTTAGAAGCCTCGTCTAAAACTGGTGATTGGACTCTTTACAACTTGCGCCTTCGACTCAGGGACTTTGCTTCCATTGTTGAAGGAGATCAAGCTATGCGAGCAGGTGATATAGGCCGTACTATGAGTATGTGGAAGAGATGGGCCTTGATGGCTCAAGGAATCAAAGGCCTTTCACATTATGCTATTCATCTGCCACGGTTTATCTTGATACTTGAAAAGTTTTTACCGCCAAAGATCGCCAAAGCAATAAAACACTCACTTTTGATTCCAACTGGCGGACGTGATGGACACTGGGTCGCAAAGGATTTTTATCTTGAAATCCAGAACTATTGGCTGAAATATTTTTACAACAACTTGGTATGTCTCTTTTGCTTTCTCTTTCTCTTTCCATCCATATCAAATGAACTTATAAAACTTATCTTAACAGGGTCAAGGGACAGACATTGAGAGATTCTCCATCCTCATCCCACTTGTGAGTGAAGCCTTTCTTGGATTCACTCGGATTTGGTTACTAATCAAAGCTATTCTGTTCAACTCAGCTTCGAAATCAGATCCATCGAATGAAGGTCAGATCTGGACTCAAAGATGTTTACCAGAACAATCGTCACCCAATCACAGATCAGACGATGAGAGCGTTCTTACATATGGCTCAGATTCACTTATGTGATCCTGGGATATCTCAAAATGCGCGATCCACTGATGATAACGATGAACTTGGTGATGTGGAAGCATTAGGGATATCCAAGCTGAAGTCAATCATCAGAAACGAGTCACGTAAGAAGTTACCCTCACGCTTCCTCTGGGGTTCTATGAGCGCAAGAGCTACCAATCCGGACTCTCTAGAGGAACTCGATGACACCGAGATGGTATAATGGTCATATTATCAATTATCATTTGTCATTCATTGACTACATAGTGAAGGTGTGCTACATAATATTTAATGCAATAAACCCAAAGAAGCAGAAACCTTTTTCTGCTTATCGGCTATCTTCTTCTCTTTCAATCTTGCAGCCTCTGCAGCCTTTTCCAATCGTAAAAGCTTCCGGTTTGCTATTTCCTTTGCTTTGTTCTCTTTTTCCACAGCTTTCAATCGCAGCTCTTCTTGATGTTCTTCTTCAATAAGCTGTGTGTCCAGGATCTCTTGATCATTTGCAATTTCAATATCTTCAAGTTCAGATTGATGTTGTCTATAAGAATCGCTTTGAATCCAAGATTGAATACAGTCAATTATCATCTCAAACAATCCAGGTAAGGTCTGGCCTCCCAAAATTTCGCGAAGAAAGCTTCCGTTCGATACCGAGACATAGTTTTTAGCGATCTGCCAAGCATCATCGCGATTGAAGAGGGTGTGAGGCAAGATTTGTGGATCTAATGGATAGGTTTTATGGAATAAAGCCTCGAAATGGCCCATGATCGACACAACGAGGTCGATAATTGGCACATTCAGCCGTATAGGATCGTTCGACTTGCATACAAGCGGGATACTACTCGTAATTTTTCTTTTTGAGCTGGTTTTTGGAATGTCAAATAGCGAGATGTCCTCAGGACCCGTTGGACTTGAGGACATCATTAGATCTAGCTCGGCTACATTTGTATGTGGAAGGAGGCGGATGAGCCGAGCTGCTGATTGAGGATCACAATTTGAGCATCGACAAGTTGCCATTTTCAAAGACCTCTCACGCTCTATCTCTTCTAGATAGCGAGGATCCGTCAAAGACATTGGGATATATCCCTTCCTGTAATCCAATATAATTATTCGATAGAATCAATCCATGTCTTGTGAAAAGTTTAAGAGATAAAGCTTACATATTATCAACCGCATATACAACTCTTAAGCAACATGGTGTGAGACGTAAACCATGCATACGCTCCTCGTTATCCATATGGGATGTTACCACAACCTCGGATGCTGAATTTTTTCCTTTTGGAATACTGGGCTGAACAAATAATATTACCAATCCTTCACCCTCACCACGACCTGCTCTTCCAGCCATCTGATTCGAATCCGACGGGTCCATAGCACCCATGATGGCAACAATCCTTACACGAGGCCAGTTCTGACCCAAGCCAAGTGTGGAAGTGGCTGAAAGTATAGGATACTTACCTTCCCCGTACTCTGTTGCGTTTTTCAACTTGTCGTTTTTGCTAGTCACAGAATGATACCTTCGAATACAGGTGTTGTTTCCATCCGAGGCGTCCGTTGGTTGCCCACGAGCTTTGCAAACACTCTCAATTACATTCATTGTAGCGTTTCGAGTTCCTGAATATATGATCATTGGTGGTAAGTCCTCATTTGAAACAACAGATTTGTGAGGAATGATGAGATGGAGATCTTCTGCTGAATCGAGTGTATGATTAAGGTATATTCGAATGAAGCGTAGCTCAGGCCGTACTAGCTCGCCGTGAACCATTGTAATATGTGATCTGGTGATGCTCAAGCTCTCCAAGATAGAAGACACAGCTTGAGGCGGACACGTCGCAGACATCAGGAGGACAGGGATGTTGTCCGTTGCCATCAGTTGCTGGCCAAGATCTCCATACGACGAACGGAATATGCCAATGTCCTGTGGAGTTACATGGACAGAGAAGTGTCTCGAGGCTCCACTGACCTGAAGCCCCCATAAATAGATACAGTGGGCCTTGTCGACAACTTTCAAGACCAGGTGAGCTTGAAATTCTTTGCTATAGTAAAGAGTTTGAAAGGTTCCATTGTTTAGAAATATCTCGGGACTCTTTGAAAAGTAAACAGGTGTATTAGTTTCTTTCACGAACAAGTCAACAAGATGATTTTAGGAGGCTTACCAGATATATAAATGAGTAATAGTTCTGTTTCAAACGCTCCAACACGTCCTTGGTGAAGGTTGTCTTTGTCAGGTTAACTGCAGTGATACCACAACAATTTTTCTCCAATACCTGAAATGGAGTTATTATAATTGTCAGGCTGACAATTATACTCGTTTTTATGGTCAGTTTGAACTAACCTGATTGTCGCCAAGCGCGTCTAGCGGGTTCAAGACCAAGACCACTGCCTTCTTGGACTTTGGAAACATATGGAAGAACAGTTCCGACACACGACTCTTTCCGAAACCAGTAGCAGCAAGTAAGAACACGTTTAGACCGTTCAGAAGAGGCACTGTCGTGTTTAGCTGGATCTCTTTCGGATTGACTCGTGGGTACATTTCCCTAAACTTCAAATCGGCCATTTGCTTCTGCTCAGATACTGTCGCATTAAGTATCTTCTTTGACAAAGTTGTTCGAACAAGCTGTAGGCTATTGGTCGATTGACGACTTTCATTGTTGTCTTGAACTTGTAAAGCATCATGTGGATTACTTCGGGTTTGTCTTCTCGACAACATCGTGGTTTTTGATCTAGAAGAACACTCTCAAGACTAGCATAGGCAGTTCAAGTTCATCGAGGTCATCAAAGTCAAGACCTCGATGATTTTGGTTTTCAAGCTGCATCGATGTCACACATGACCGTTGAACGGTCATCCGCAGTCAGATTTCGAAATTTCAAAAGACACTTTATTGAGCTCAATGAAAACTTTTTGTTTTGATTACGAATAAAAAAAAAGTAATAGGATGGAAGATTTGGAAGAAGCTCGAGTCTAATATATTTAAACAACAGACAATGTTGTAATCAAACAAAGAAAAGTTTTCTATAACATAGGGTCCTCCCACTAAAAGCCCGATGTGCTTGTCACCAAGAAAAGCCACACTACATATAAGTCCCTCGTGCCTCGGCCGCAAACTTTCAAATGAGAGGCACGAGATTGGACTTAGTTAAGTTAGCCATCGATCCCGCTTATCCTAAACGAAGGGCTCATGTGTCAATATTCGCAGGTGGAATATATTCAAGATGTAAACACTCCATAGTTATTGGACCTTCACCAAATCAAACCAGTCTCACAGTACAAAGGGATCATATGACTTTGTAGTGTACTGGAACGGACAAGTCAAATCTATGTGAGTACTCTCCACTCAACAATCAAATCTATCAACAAGAACAATTGAATTGCTCTATATGGCTCAATATCATCAAACCGGATCTAAAGGATAGATGATCTGATGTGATGGCTACGTAGCGCCAGAACTAAGCACAAATCAGCTTCACTATGTGGCCAGTTTGAGCACCCCGGAGGTGTATAACAGGTGAAAGGGTTTCCAAATTGTGATATTCGAGAGTCAAATTTTTTCCTTAGTGTGCATCTGACACGACACAAGGTAAAGTATTTCAAAAGAAGGGTGAATCAGACGTACATTGTTACCCATCAGAGCCTTGCACCATAAAAAATGAGCGAGATAAGTGTGATGTAAAGTAACTAAATCTATATAGGAAGTACTTGTGCTGTCTACAAGCACAACATAGCAAGTCTAGATAGGTCTTACATGAGTTACTTTCGAAGTAAAAGCTGGTACGAGCAATTGGTAAATTCAATCATTCAAAGTGGTGTGTCTGGACATCTTTTTGGAACTTGATCCCGCTTTCAAGACAAACACAATAGCATTTTCTTTGCCTCAAAGATACTTCTGCAATAACAGAGTTCCAAAGGTGTGATGCATCTGACGAGGTTTTTGGGGCCAAAAGGTTCCTTGGGGTCAGGGTCAATAGGTGCTGACTCCTGAGACTAGGACTAGTTTCTCTGGGCAGATAGGGCCCAAAGTGCAGTGAAAGATCAACAACTCGTTGGGTTTGTATGTAATGGCAATAGTGTCATGAGGAAGAAATCCCTCGGTTAAATTGAGCCTGTGCCATTCTCTTGCGTTCGACTCTTAGTTGAGCTATCACAAGGCCACATTCATAGAGATTATAAATGTGAACCGTATAGACATTATCATCAGATTGTCGAAGCCACTTTCATTCAATGACTTTTTGTCAAACAAAATCACCAGGCACTATATTTCTAATTTGGTTTTGTAGGTAATGGTTACTACATGGTTCCCTTTGTCGGAACGCCAACGCGATGATTTGCTACATTGACGAAGTGATGTTTTTTATAATAAAGAGCATTTACCGAACCAGCTAAGATTTATAATTTGTTGCTTAAATGGACTCCTAAAAGCCAAACAAAATGAAACACGCGGTCAGATCATTGGAAGAGAAAGACGCATTGTGAAAACGTACAGAGAGTAGGCCATTCAATTTATTAACACGGCTAGAGACACTTAGATCAATAGTCTTGTCTCCAAAGTCAACAACCAAACCACCCATAACGCTAGCATTCACGTTGTTCTTAATCTTGACCGTCTTGCCCTATCAATCAAATCACTCAGATATAAATTTCAAGATGTCACCGAGAAAGAGGTTCGCTCACCTGAGCGGTTGCACTCTTCTTGAGGCTAGCCTCAAGTCGGCTTTGAAGAGCCGAATCAAGAGGTTGAGCAGAGGTGATAGTGATAGTGATTTCACCACGATGAGCACTCATAAGAGTGAGAAAATCTTCGATGACCTACAATGAGTACATAATAAGATTATCCATCAATTATGCCGAATCCCACGAAAAAGAGTATTACCACACTTTTTCAGTTTCGTATAAACGACCGTTTTCGGCCAAGACACTCAAAAGGTTTTGTGTCATCTCATTTGGTGCGCTGGGAAGTTTGCTCAACATGGTCGAAATCCCCTTCTTTCGCTCTGCAGATTGGAGGGTAGGGTTTTGAAGAAACTCTTTGATCGAAGCACCTGAGGAAAGAGATAATGCCTTGATCAGGATCGATGAGGTACAGTTATATTGATGGGAAAGAAAGCTTACCACCTGCACCAGAGAGGATTTTCTGGACTGATGTGACATCTTTCTCAACGGTGCTTAAAAGCTTTGCATCTTTCTTCACGGTTGCGGTGTAAAGGGCTGATGCATACTTTCCCGAGAGTCCCTGAAGTTGAACCGGTGGCTATAGAAGCAGTTCAGAAAGTCGATCATCAATCAGTAAATGTCAAAGTTACTTGGATCTATCTACCAAATTGTTAGACAGACCAAGATAAGGATTGAGGCGTAAACCCCAACCGAAGTTAACGATCAGGGATGGGAGGAGCTTACTTGAACCGATTTGGAAGCTGCAGTGGCATATCCCCGAGTGTTTCGAAGGGTACGACAAATCGAGTTCGATGCCATCTTGAAAGTAAAGGATAGTTTCTTTTGTTGGTTGTTTCTTTCGCAAAGGATGAAAGGTGATAACGCAGTTCCTTGCCGCCCAGCTGATCAACGGCCCAACACGGAGTCAAACGATCAGACCTATCAGGGACATGTCACAGATGCTATATATCAGTATAAGCATTATCCGAGGCAGATATGTGTCTAACAGGTAGTCTACTTGAAACCGTGAACTTCCCCCTCGGTAACCAGTATGTAGCGCATACAACACACCTCGACTCGACTCTTAACCCTCTTCACGCGTTTGGATCATCATCACCACTTAATCTGAAGCATATCTCAACAGGATCTCCATAAATCGAATTCAAGATGCCTCCGAGACTTTCCTCGCGAGGAACAACACTTCGGGGTAGTGCTCAGTCCACCGAAGACGATGGTGAGGAAGTAGGTGGTACCACGGGAGTCACTGGCGAATACGAATCTGAAGAAGTAGAAGAAGGCGTAGAATATGAAGAAGATGTAGAGGAAGGAAGCGAAGATCAAGGAAGTCAGGAAGAGGACGGGGAAAATGACGGAGAGGCTGGAGATGAAGGACAGGAAAACGATTTAGGTGAAGAAGGCCAAGAAGAAGATGTGGAGGAGGATGAAGAGGAAGAGGAAGAAGAAGAAGAAGAGGAGGAAGAAGATGAAGAGGAGGAAGAGGAGGATGGTGATGAACATCAAGACGAAGAACCAACGCAGATGAATCAGTCCTCAAGTCTTCCAAATACCAAACCTCTCACATCACGTCAAAGAAAAGAACAAGAGAAGATTGCGCGACAAATCGAAAGAACAAGAAAGAAAGAAGAAAAAGAACGAGAAAAAGCCGAAAGAGCAGCACAAAGAGAGAGAGAAAGATTAGAAAGATTAGCTAGAAAACAACAAGAATTTAAAGCATTTCAAAAAGTCAAACAAGAAAGATTACTTAAAGCTGCTAAGGCTTCGGCTGGAAAACTGTCTAAAGCTTCTGGATCTCATTCATCTGCTGTTCCATTTCGAAAAATTAAAGTCGATGCAAGAATTGAAACTGTTCGAAGACTTATCACATCTACACCGACTGGTGAACTTTACGTTCAAAGTGCGACTGATTCACACGCAGTAGCATCCGATCCTAATGCTAGATGGTGTGAAACTAAGACCTACAAGGGTGTTACTTATTTAGTCGAAGACGACGAGTTAACTCTTCCTGATGACCCTAAGGGCGATCTGAAAGTTACCCCAGAAGGTGTTCTACTTGGGGGTCAGCTATTGTTCCTTATCAGTGTTTTTCACCCAACTTTTCAAACGCTTCAATATCTTATACTGATATCTACTGAAACCCCATTTATATCTTGCATTGATTAGATCGACAGTACAAAATTCCCACTTTCACTTCAAAAGCCAGAGCGAACCCAAATAAACACTTTGTCCTTTCAATTGATGCCGCTCGAGCTGCAGGCTACAGGGATTCTCTTTATTTCTTCAGGCGCAATCCTTTGATCCAAAAACTTCCGTCAGTCATAATCTACTCTTGTTTACCTCATTTCTCAGTCTATCGACATTTTTTCGAACACATTGGTTTACATTTCATAGTTGAGCCCTAACTGATATTGGAATATTGTGAATCTTGGTCAAGATTAGGTGCACGCAGGATGAAAAAGATGCACTCATTGCTGCTGGCTTCTTGTCTGGTAATTTAAAGTCACGTGCAGTGACTATGTGCTCAGCTCGGAACGCATTCAAAGTGATGGGCGCCAGATTCCTGAAAGGTCTGCCGTTTTCCTGTCATTCAAACCTTGCTAATTTTTCAAAGATATTGACCATGCACTCAATTCCAACCAATCCGACGACCCTGATACAGACGGTAGACTTGTGGTGGATGACTATTATGAAGATGCGGCTCTTGCTAGTGGTGCTGCGATAGGGGAACCAGCCATTGCGGATGGACTTGAGCCGCAAGATCGATCAGCTGCCGCTACTACCGACGCCGCAGGACAAGAGACAACATCGACCTCCAACGTGAATCCTCCAGTACCTCAGGAGCCAGTCAAACTCAAAGCAGCTCAGAGTGCCTTTCGACTTGCTCTTAATAACCCTAACCCAACCAGCGCCGGTGCGGGAGGAAGTTTGGTAAAAACCATCTTTGGTGGTGATGGTCGTCCTCCTTTTGGATTTGTAATTACGGATCCCAAGGATAGAAAACGACGCCCAGCACCTAACTTGACCTCTAAGAATTGGATGTTACAATATTGCCGAGCTATATCTGAAATGAACCGGCACCTCAGATCTCTTCGTAACGAAAGATTACGCCCATTCCCAACGCTTGGCTCACATGAACTTGATTCGAATCTAACCTTCAAAAATGGAACGGAACCTCATCCAGATGATATGGAATGGCGTGATGTGGAAGTAGATATGCGACTGAATACAGAAGGGCGTATTTTGGAGTCTGGTGAAGAATCGGATGGGAAGACAGATGAAGAGGAAGAAGAGAAAAGTGAAGCAGAGGCCTCGACACCCGTACCCCCTCCTTCTACTACAGGACCTGCGTTATCTCGTATCACTAATGCTCTTCCACCTGATTCGATCATCACCGTCTTTGGGTTGGAGAACGCGTCCAGAACGGTTGACAACAATTCAGAAAGGCACAATATTCTCTTGGGGCCTTCAAATGGAGCCAACTCTAGCCGGGCTCATTCACCTGCATTTGGGGGTCACAACCGAGCTCGCGCTCGGTCACCACACAAAAGAATGACCAAGGCGCAAATGAAGAAGCCTAAAAACCAATGGTGGACGACGACTGTGAAAGTGCGAGAGCTGATGCCAAAACAACCTGTGATGGGCTTATTAGATGTACATAGCGGTATTCCTCATCTACGTCGAGATATGCAGTCAACAAAGGCTTTGGTAGAAAAACTAGAAGATCATCCAGACCTCAACCTCCGTAGCAAGAAGCGCAAACATGAATCTGCAACAAATGAAATGGATGGAGTAGAAGAGCTGGAAGAGAGTGAGAATGGAATGAAAGGTGTGGTGTATGAGGAGGAAGAAAAGAAAAGGATTTGCAAGCTTCCATTGGTTACAGTAGAGACGATTATGACCGATGAACTTTGTCCTACTCGACCTCCGTTGATACCTGGAATGTGGGATTTTAGGACGAGTGAACTTTTAGAGAGTGTAATGTAGTTTAAATATTCTAGCAGATAATTATTTGTGTTTGTTTTCTTTTAGGAATTTTTCAAATCTTAGTTTGTACATGATACATGGAGAAGTTCACACTTGTGAGATTAGATGGGATAAAAATGTTTATCCTCTTTGCCATTGGGTGATATAGTGTAGGGAGAGATAGGTGCAAATTCAAAACTAAGAGCCTCTTTTTTGATGGTGTGAGTTTATCACAACAATCTACACCTCTACCTAATTTTGTTGTGTCAGTTTAAGATCTCTTAGGTATGAGGCTTGGCCCTTGGTCTCTTTTCAAACTCAGTTTGCATGAGCCACTTGGCTCATTCAAGCGCTTTCAGATTTATGCTTGTAATTGGCTATTGAGCTGTGCTGGATTTATGTGCACTTCTGTAGTCACTTGCAAAGAAGTACTTTTTTGGCCAGATGCTCAAACAAAGACTTGTAGATTTGTATAAACATTTTTAATTTGGATACTATCTGCAAGAGGGACACTCGGGATAAGAGCCCGGCTGCAAAATCTCAAATGAATGACTGCTGGATTTGAACTGATTTTGTTTTCATGTCAATAAACAAAATATATAATGTAAAAGGATTTGAGTTAGTTAGAAAGTTAGAACAACCAATACTCCTGATCTGGACAGTCACCTCCCGATTCTTCCCCAAGACCATTTGGACACTTTGTAGTATGATCAGAATCACAATATCTAATCTGGATGCAATTGCAAAATGGACAGTGTCAAGTGATCTTCCAAGCTGTCTGGCTGCATTCAAGTGGTATTGTATTTTGTTGGTTACATGGGCAGGTATATGAATGACCACATTTTTCTTGTTCTTTGAATAAACATTCTTTGTGGTTTTGGTGACTTTGACAGAAATGTGGAGGATGTGCATTGCCATAATACAGGAGCTTTCTTAGGATATCTTCTTCAGGAACACCAGGTGTCAATGCAACAGCCGCAATGAACAAGATAGAGCATATTTGGACATACAAAAAATCTACATGATGTCATGTGTGCAAGAGATATATCTTAAAGCAAGACTCAGCCAAAAAACTCCAAAAATATTGATTGTATGACTTGAAACATACCAGTGTGCTAGTTGACTATTGCCTAATCATTTTGAGGATGTTAAATTTCTTCAGCAATGAACTTGTAGATGAACTGGTGTTTTAAATCTAGAAATCATGTCATCAAGAGTGGAAAAGATCTCTTGGCTGCAAATTACAAACCAAAAAATATATTGAGAACCAGAAAGGAAATCCCCTGTAATAAGACAACATGCCTTTTTTGTAAAAAAGAATCCCAAGCCAAATGTTTCCTTGAGACACAAGTCTACAAAACCCCATGCAGTCAAGGGTTTCATTTTTATATACGTGTCAGAGGTTCCAATGAGGCCACTTGAACAACATAAGAGCATGAGCAGGTCCTGTTGCAGTGTGTGATCCAGTGATCACACCCAAGCTGAGCGTAGGCTACATGCTGTGTGACAAAAATATGCTCCACTTGCCTGATCACATCTCCTGTGTGAACCCAGGTTTGGTCATTGGTTTGAGACCATACCCAATTCCAGGATTGCTGCCCTCAAAGAGGTATTATAGAAGTAGTTTGAGATCACAGTCCACTATTTTTGACACGTGCTTGCGGTCAAGATCCCAGCTTAGGTGGACTGTAATAGGCCACTTTTTTGCATTCTCATACACTGCCCCATCTTTGAAAACACATGAAGTTCACAATACCTCTTTTTAGCCTGAAGCTCATAGCACAAGTCTGTTCTCCATGGATGGTAGTCCACATTACCAACTTCCATTAAACATAGTGGGGCATTGTCTGGATGTGGTATCATGTATGCCATGCTGTTTGTGCTGGATCTACAAGACTGTGAAGAGGAAATGCACTGAAGCCTTTGCCTTGATGTCTAGGTTGCAGTAAGGTCTTTACTCAAAAGCTGGCTGGCTGCCCAGGGTCTAGTGATTAAGCTAACTGGGATTTTGTTCAATTCAAATGATCTATCAATGACCACCAAAAATGAGAGAGTCAGCATTCAAATTACTTGTAGTCCACATAGAAACAAATCCAGCTAATCATGAAAGACTCTTTTCTCTTGAATGATGGAAAGATATATAGTGCAGCATAGTACTATCTGCATGAACTTTGTATTGTCATCAAAGCCTTGAGCCATATAAATAACATATTCATACCAATTCATCTAATACCAATGAAGGGTACATGATATTGAGGTCCCATGGCATTCAGACGTCAAAAGATCACAATAAAGGAAGTCTCACATGTAGATCCTACAAAACCTGAAGGTTTGACTTCCAATCTATGATTAAGCCTTTTGAGTAGAGCGGCACCGAAAGGAAAACAGGGCAGGACATTGCGGATTTTCATGAAAAACATGGAATGATAAAATCTCATACATTTTCAGTGAACTCAAGAGTTTGGATTTCTGTCAACCAATATGAAATAACCAAAAGCATTAACACAGACTTTCATTACCTGGATGATTGGAAAAAATATGCTACTTGAGATTGAAATCTATGATGCCTAGTTTTAAGTGAACATGCTTTGTTCTTTAGTGTGAGCTTCATATAACTGAATTTTAATCTGCAGCAGTATGGTACAAGCTATGGAGTTTGGTAACTTGATAGACATTTGTCGAGAAAAACAAGGAAAAGAATCATAGGCGATCCCTTCGTGCGTTTTCCACATTCTGGCGAGGGGTCAAATTATTCTACGAGTACAATACCGTCTTCTATTCCCTGGCCCGACTTTTGTGGAAGCTTTGAACTCCTTGGCGTGATTCACGATAGATTCACTCCCACGGCCAACATCGTGAAGACCAAGTCAATGTAAAATCGAGTCGATCAGCATTGCCATAATTGATCAAAACGTCTCCCTGTTGTCCTTCTCTCCTTTTTGAATCTTTCGTCGTTGAAGAATCCATCACATAAAATCTCAGGAAATTCCCTTGTTGTCACACTCTCCGGTGCCACCTCAATTGCTTTCGAGCAACTCACAAACAGTTTCTGTGTAAAGATAAAACCGCTGATCACAGTGATGCAATAAATGCTTGCAGCGACCATGCGTCATCCGCCTCATGGTCTACATAGGTGTCTAAGAAAGCGTTTATAATACGGCGGCATAACATTAAAAATGTGTACAACGTGGCTCTTATCTCGAGGCATGATACCTATCGGGAATTGAGACCGGAGTGTGAAATCTTGTGGGAGAACAACGCGGTTAAATTGCCAGGCAGGAGGTAAGCTTGTGCTACAGTCAACTCCTTGTGTCCGAACCATGGAAACAGCAAACTGAAGGCTTGCGTGCGTTGTAGGAGAAGATATTTCTTGAGGGACACATCCAGGAAGACCCGGACATGTCACATGGCAGCAAGTCACCAAGGTGAGGTATCACAAACCTAACCCTGATTTGATGAGAGTTGGCTCTTCGGCGGTACCGGTAGTCCCGCACGCCAACAAGCATCTCACCTGACCACATAGCGAACGCCCCCTTTCGGCTCCCCTCACCCAGAAACCACCCCGACTCATCAAGACAACAGGATGGTGAGCTCACGATTCCATTCAGCCTAACGGAGCGGCTTGAAATGCGCGCTAAGCGTCCGACTTACGACTGCTTGAATTATGATTATAGTCGTCCAACAAAACCTTTCGAACTAAGCGTGCTCTTGCCAAGGCCCAGCTTGCAAATCGGTCAGTCAATATCGAAAGACTTGCATCAATTCGAATTCCCTGTTGATTTCCAATTTGACTCCTTCAGACCCATTCCTCAGTGGTTTCGATTGAAGAGTGATTCTAAGAGTATGTTCCTTCCCACATTCATCAACCTCTCATGCGCCTGGCTCCTGGTGCCCTGTTTTCGGACGAGAGCATGAACTTGAACTGATTTCCATCTGTTTCACCTTACCCTCCTCTCAAATTATCAGTCACTTACAACGCCAAGCGTCGTCACTGGCGCCGAACAAAACTTAACCTCTAGACACTGCCATTCATCGCTATGGATCGATTTACCTGCTCAACTCGGTTTATTCCTTCCACCGGCTGGCTACTACTCCCTTCAGGCCATAACCGATATGCTATGTTTTGCGGATATTGATTAGAAAGATCGACGCTGTATTCTTTTTCAATGATGTCGTAATAACGAAGTTTCTCATATGCTAAAACCCATCACCGGGGCACCCATTCATCCTGAAGTACCATGGAACGCTAACTGGTCGAGGGTCACTCCCAAGGTGTTCTTGTGCCTGGTCTATCGCTATCAACTAAACATGATTTACTGTCAATCTTTCCGTGCCTCAAGTCCGACTGCTATGTCCCTCCGTTGCCATTGTTTTCAACCTCAACATGCCCCTTGAGCTCAATCAACATCTAGGCTATTCAAAAATTCAATTTTTGACAGTTTCCAAAGGGATTTTCATGACGTCACAAATTCGGGATGCTGGCATTCTAGAGATTTCGCTGGAAATTTACAAAATTCACAGAATACATTCGTATGTCCTAATTCTGCATGTTGAGAAAACGCAACACCTATGTGTTCAGCCCACTACCAGGCTCAACTGCATCTAAAATGTAGCGATACCTGCTGGCATATGCATTTGCCTATCAAATTTGACTCAGTCCCTCGCCGCGAGGAAGAGGCTTGGAGCCCATTCTTTCACTCGATATATTCTGGCGCTACGTAGCCATCGCATCAGATCATCTATCCTTTAGAGCCCGTTTGATGATATTGAGCCATATAGAGTAATCCAATCATTCTTATTGATAGATTTGATTGTTGTGTGGAGAGTACTACATAGATTTTACGTGTCGATTCCAGTTCACTACAAAGTCCTATGATTGTGACTGCGAGACTAATTTGATTTGGTGAAGGACCGATAATTATGGAGTGTTTACAACTTGAATATATTCCACCTGCGATAAGTGCGCCATGAGGATGATGAGCCCTTCGTTTAGGATAAGCGGGATCGATGGGTAGATCAACCGCCTGCCTCAACTTCAAGTTCTGAGCCAGCCGGTTCCGGATGAAGAGCCGTTGATCGAAAAGTCATAGAGAACAAAGCCAGCTAACTCTCAATCGCAACGCTTGGATTCATGAATTTCATTCCTCTCCTCTATCTCGGTCTGAGCAATGGAATGATTGGCGCGCTTGTCAGCTTGGGCTTCGTGATAATTGCCAGCAACAGCCGCACGAACCAATCTGGTGTTTGGTAGAGACCACTGTTTGCGGGGCGGTGTGGAAAGGAATGGTTGCATTGGATATTGATCCGGGACGATTAGAAGGACCCCTTCTTGCTGGAGACGCGTAAAAGTAACGAGTCAGAATGTGGTTGTATTTCTGGTCAAGATGGAAATCTTCATGGGTGACTCACGTGCACTGGCGGACGTGAAATGGATTCAGTTGATACTTGTCAGTGCACTGCGTGATATATTCTGGCACACTGAGGACACCTTCTTGATGGAGACGCGTAAAAGTAAAGAGTCAGGATGTGGTTTTTATTTCTGGTCAAGATGGAAATCTTCATCCGTGACTCAAGTGCACTGGCGGACGTGAAATGGATTCAGTTGTTACTTGTCAGTGCAATGCGTGATATATTCTGGCAGACTGATAATGTGAGGTGTGTGATGATTTCAGAAATGAACTATTTCAATCAAATGCTGAGCTCGCCTGCCACACGAATGAAACTTTTTTTGGGTACACGAAGAGCATCTGTGTTAGGTCGAGTAACGGTTGCATTGGATATCAATCTGGAAGCATAAAAGCACCACCTGTTGTTCATGAGTGCGCGTGAAAGCAATGGGCCCGGTTGGTGATTATTATTTCTAGTCAAGATGGAAATTTTCATCAGTGGCTCAAGTGCACTGATGGACGTGAAAGAAGATTCCATTGCTACTTGGTCAGTGCAATACTTGATGTTTTATGGAACACTGCTAATGTGATTGGTTTGATGATTTCAGTCAAATGCTGAACTTTTTCAGTTGCTGACGATATTTTGTGATTAAAGAAACCGCCAAAATTGCTCGGCCGTGGCAAAATATGGACACATTCCCGTGCCGACGATGGCACTATCACCAGGAACAAACTTGCTTCTGTGCCTTGAGGCATTCTTTCAGCAGACCGGAACACAATTTCGAGCGGGACACAAGTATAAATATCTATCATTCTCTCCAATTTCTCTTCCTGTTCATCGTCTATCATTCACATCTTTTGATAACATTTCCCAACCACTTCTCACTCCGCACTTTGCATCTCCGCGTCCAACATTGGTTCCGCATTCAAATCTTCCACAACTCCATCTTCACATCACTCTATCCTCTACCATCCAATCTCTTCAACCCATCTCATATTTACTCACCTTCCTATAACCAATATGTCTTACTTATCACTTGGCCTTAACCTGCCTGTCCGATTTGGAATGGATCCTTGGTTTGTCATGAAGAGAGCTGTAGCACATCACAACGCAACAGTCTCATGTGGATCATCGGACAACTCACAACAGGTAAGCTTTTCTTTTGTCTCGTCATGTGTTTGAAGGCCAATCAGCTAACTCTTTTCATTGTTTCTTGCAACAGATTGCCTATGAATTGTTCCTCATCAATCTTTGCAAAAGTCCAAAATTGATCACATGGAATTCGACTTCAACCCTTCAGGTTTGTCAACTTTCACATTTCGTGGTTTTCCACTTCAAGTTTCTGTTTTTCTGACATTTTTATATCTAATAGTCTGAAGTCTCAGAAGAAAAGTCGACCGAATCTTGCCCTCGCATTTCGTTACCCAGTCAAAGAAAGCGTCCCGTTCGTCGACAAAGACTTCCAAAAATCTTGATCTCGGATGAAGATTGCAATTTGGAGATGGCTTTGGCCACAAAAGTTGATTCTAAATCGACTTCACTCAACCCAACGACTTCTTTTATCGCGCTCACTGAGGAGCAATCTGAAAACTTTCATATATTCAATGAGTTACTCGCCGAGCACAATGTTTCGATAATCTCGACCCCTTCAGTTTCTACCTCCAATCTTCCCTCAATCATCTTAAACTCATCTCGAGGAACGAAGAGATCACTCCCAAAATCACAACTTTTTGGTGCACCAGTTTCAAAGAAATCAAAACCAACCCTTCATTGGACTGAAATCTTAGATGATCTAATGACGGCGTCTGATTGGGAAGAAGCGGAGGCAGAGTTACAGCAAGAAAACAAACCAATAGCTAATACGAGTTCACTCAATGGAACTCTCTCGTTTATCCCGCTCACTGAAGACGAATCTGAAAACTTCCATATCTTCAATGACTTACTTGCTGAACACACCGCATCTGCAATCTCAACCCCTTCAATTTTGACCTCCAAACCAACCTCGATCACCCTTAACCCACAACATTTCACCACTAGGTCATCAATTTCCAAGAAATCCAAACCAGCACTTCATTGGACTGAAATCTTAGAGAATTTGATGACAGCTTCTGATTGGGAAGAAGCAGAAGAAGACTTACGACAGGAAACTGTTAGAACTGAATCAGTAGAATTCATGCCTCTTACTTCAGTAGAATCTTCTAATTTTGATATCTTCAATGAGATGGTCCTTGAACATCAAATCTCAGAGACTTTGAAGTCTTCCGCTTCCACACTGGCTACTACCACATCCTCATCATCCCTCAACACGACAACTTCTTCGAATTCAAACTCTTCAAAACCTAGCTCAAAGGTATTCAGAGATAACGAAAGACAACTTCATTGGTCTGAAATCTTAGATAGTCTTATGACAGATGAAGACCGTATAGAAGCAGAAGAATCTTTCACTATCACTCTTCCTCTCCCTCAAGAAAGGGCGCTGGAGTTTGTTAGCGTTGATGAGACTTATTCTCTCCCATCTACACCCTCTTCAAATATTTCTTCATCTTATTCGAGCGCTCTGAATACTCATTCTCTGCCGACACCAGTAGAAGAACTCAAAGATCCGTTCGGTTTGATTCTCAATGCTTCTCAAAATTATTACACAGATATGAGTTTTGAGTTTGTTAAATCTTCTCTTGAACAAAATGATGACTTTTCCAAAGATCTTAGTTTTAATATTGAAAAATCTATTTTAGAACTTGAGTTTGATTTTGAAAATTCTTTTTGTTAATCAGATTCACTCGACACAAAGAATTGCTTAATAGAAATCGTTTTTTGAATAAATCGAGCCAACAAAATGTTAAACATAATTTTCTACACTTCGGCCTGATGTTTCCTATTTTTCCTACCCTTCTCGTTTTTCTCTTTCTCTTTCTCGTTTTCGTTTTTCTCTATTTGGTTTCTTTCTGATTTGTAATTTTTCCTTTGCATGTAATGAAGCAATTTGACATCATTCATATAATTGAGATTGAGAGCGAACCGAGAGAGAAAGAGAGAGGAACCTGTTGCGTGTGAGTAAATGTGACTAACATAAAAAGTCATGAAGACAACAGACAGCATTGTACAAACCGTTCTTGAGGGAATGGAAGTGAAGATGTCACCAACGTGTGCTTAACGAGTGTCAAGGTATGTGACAGTTCGATGATGCTTTGACTGAAGAGGTTTCAAAATTGAAACTTCGTATATACTTAAAATGTCCGTCCTCAACAACAACAACACCAACCTTGTCAAGTTCACCGATCAAGATCAAGTCAATGAACCAAATCAAATTACACCAGAAGATCTAGTAGATCGATTCCGTCGTCAAGGCTTATTAGATACCTTACGTCGAGATTTAATCAAAGAGTTTCAAAGCTCAGAATTGAAATCGACTTTTGAAAAGAAACTAGAAGATATCGTTTTAGATAAACTAGCCTATGATGCAAGACGACTGAAAAATGATCATGTTAGCAGATTAGGAAGTAACTCAAGAAGAACTTCAAACGATTTCAAAATTGGACTTAGCGCTACTAAGGAAAGACATGAGGATGTACTACAGGAAATTGAAAGGTATATCAGGATCATTGAAACTGTTCGATTTTATATTTATCTAGACTTTCTTTCTCCATGATCAAGGTACTGATGCTCTTCAATAAAAACATAGACATTCTTTGTACGATCGAACCATGTCCGATATGGAAGCTCGTTTTGTGGACCGTGAGGCAATTAAATACAAACTCTATGACGTGTTAGATGAATTCAGGCCTCCTACAAAACGAAGAAGAGTCTCTCAATCTCAAGAAGAACCTTCCAAGACGGTTACCATCTCAAAAGTTGAAAAAGAGTCCCCTAATTCGATCCCAAACTCTGAGCCAGTGGAGGAGAATTCAAACGCACACGAGACTTCGCAAAATGTTCAACTCGGTCTCGATCAGTCAAGTGATTTAGATGGGATGCCGCTCAACAGTAACAATTTAACAGACGCTGACGAAGCTAAAGGGTCGAACACCCAAGATCTAGAGCGCGAGGGACCTTGCTCTTCACCAGAAAAGTCGCCAGGTGAAGGAAGAGATAGCTCAACTCGACCTTCGCTTTCATCTGCAGCGCCGCATTCTTCTGTGCCGCCAATTGTAACCTCAAATGGTTACGATGGAGATGCTGTCAGCAGCAATAACAGCGCTACGTGTGCTCCTAGACCCGGATCCGTACGGCAAGCTCTGGAACTTCTTATGGCCTCTGCACGTCGTGAATCTATGGATCAATCTGATCAAGCTTCTGCTTCGACTAATTTGGATGGTGCTCCATTACCTTCGTCAAGTCTTACCGATAGTCCAGCAGAAGTGCAGCCATCAGAAAGCTCTGCGGCTTTAAACCGAATTATTCCGACCAGCTCATCCTTAGCCCCGGAAAAGCCAGCTTCATCTAGTGCCCTAACAGCCAAGTCAACTACTGTTTCCCTACCAGAACAAGATGATGGAAAGGATGATGGTGATGTCGATGATGATCTATGCGCAGCCTTACACAAACGAAAATTAGCAGCAGAATCAAATTCAACGCGTAGTAAACTGACAATCAACCTATCCAAGCCATCTTCTAAACTCACGCCTCGTATTCCTCCTCAACCCTCGGCCTCAGATTGTGCTATCGATGGACACTCAGTAGACAGCGCAGTGACCGAATTCTTACGATCTCTTGGACCTCCACCTGAGCAAGAAGGTGAAGAAGCTGCAGATGAAGATAAAGCCCAATCGGTTGTATCATCGGATATTGATGGCGCTTCCCTTTCTAGTGCTATATCTGCTTCAAATAGACCTCAGGATGAATCTCATCCTCCTTCCAATAAAAACTCTGATTGATGGAAGTAAGAAGAGCTCAGCATGATGAGTGCGCCTACTAGAATTCGCCATTTCGCTCAATGAACCGGCATACATCAGGTTGTGGGATAAGCACTCACGAGTGTTTGCAGGGCGCTAGATATGCTATGGCAGACCGACCTACAGTGAACCCTCTTAGGGAGCATGGTGTTTACATCAGTCCTTAACCCAATTCTTGCAAGTCTAATTTTACAGTGCGATTATGTATGTATCTATCCTTGGTTTGTTCTCTTAGTGCATCCACAATGGTCATCTTGTCATGAGGGATCACCATCAGACCACCACCACCAATTTTCAGATATAGCGGGTCAAAAAAGAGGACACAACAGAGCAGTTCAATTTAGGCGGAAAACCTTGGATCAACGGCTTGTACTTGAATATTGAATCAGTTGAGATCGAAATCTCAGGCATGTTTTGTGGATTTGAGGCGGTTGCATGCGATGTTAAGAACCCTTATGGACTCCACAGGGACATGCCGAAATGATGTCCTAATTGCTCAAGACTCCTCACAGTAAGAGGACTATTGCAGATCCATCAGTGTGCATCAATTCAATTAATCTTGTCCAACTATGTAGACCAACTCACCAAAAGTTTGGCTTCTTCAAGTGTCACATTAATTTAACCTTGTATCGTACTTCTTAGCATCACATTGTACCTGATTTGAAAACTATGAGGATTCTATATCAGTGTGGCTACTTAATAGCTCGAGTACCAAAGGTGGTAAATATGCATTCTTGAGGTGTTGTGAAATTTATATTACTGAAGAGTGCAAGTAGCCTTTTTTTCCAAGCCAATCAAGCCATGCCTTGGTATCAGGGGTATTCTGCAACATCAGCCAACAAAATACTACAATCATTTCAGTGCTACCACTCAGGTGGCAAGTGTGCCAAGTTTGGTGCACTGGAAACTGCTCAATGGTACCCCCATATATAACATTAGACTAGCTTTTGAGCATGCGGGATGGTTGATCTATTGCAAATCCTTTCCTTATTGTTAATAGAGCATAAATCATAACTTTTACTACATTAAAATGTTTAAAGATCCAATCAAGTAAAAAGCTTCTACTGATGAACATGGGAGGTAGTAAAACAGATTTTAAATGGTCAGCAAACATTGTCCAGTTTCTGGCGGTAATATAAAGCAAAACACATCAAATCCTTGGCTGAGTTGAATGAAAATCTTGGAAATATCTTGATCATCAAAAAAAGAGTACAACTGTAAATTATAAGAGTATTGTAATTGAGGGAAATCAAATCAAATCAAATCTCAACATGTGAAGATGGTGCAATATATATATGATTAATCACTCAGATGGTCATGCAATTTCTGTTGCACTAGATGGGTGGTCATGGTACTCACTCCCTTTTGCTTATCTTTGTAACATTTTCAACTCAAATTGATGTTTTCAAATCTCACTTGGTTCTATTTGTGTATCAATCCTATGTACTAGCCTTGAGCACTATTCTGAGAGAGTATTTTTGGTGATTTCTTTTTGCTTTTTACCCGCAAGGCATACCTGAAAAGGAGGGTTTCCAACTGAGTTGAACTTGAAACTGGCTCATTGATTTTTTTTCTCCAAGACACTGCTGCAGTGACTCAGCTCAAATGCAATGAATCACACTGTTGGCTGTTCAGGCAAGTCAAACCACAGAATGCTGCACAGTGGGTTTTGTGTTGCCAGTGCCAGATGCCATAAGCAGTAATGATATGACTGAAGACACCATTTTTTTTAAAGAAAAAGGAATGATAAGGCATGTAAAAGTATGAACAAATCATAATATAAATCTGACCCCCCTGGGCCCTTAGCTCATTCCAATCAACCAACAAGTTTTGAAAGCTGACAGTCTGATGTCAAACATTTCTAATCTAGATGCTTGAGTACCAGATGTTTGAAAACCTTTAATAGCCTTGACAGATGAACTTAGCAGTCAGAGAAATCACATCATTTTCTGGATAGGCTACAGTAGAGATCAATCTTATCTGATCAACAGAGCTTTACTCAGTTCACTCTCTCATCTCCCTCACTACTTCCTTCCTCCTAGGCTCTTCTCATACACTACTTAATTGAATTCAGTCTTCACATCTCAATTTCAACACTCATTCTTGAAAAATAATAATATATAAACATCAAATTGCCTCTAACAACAAAAAACCAGTATCAGACTTATGAAAAAAAAGTTAAATATGTAATGTAAAAAAGAAAAATGAGAGTAAGGAAAAAAATCCAGTCTTAGTCTTATATTAATACACCAAAAAAAAAGAAAACAAAATAACAATCATAAATCAACTTTATCAAAGATTGTAAAATAAACAAAAGACATTCTTAAAATTTTTAAAAAAATGGAAACCAAATGATTTAATTCCAGATATCTGAAAATGCATCTTTTCCATTGCTACTACTATTATGATTAGGTTTACTTGCAACTGAGAAATTACCAAACCCATCATTTTGATTAGATTGATTATTACTTGACCATGGATCTGAAAGAGTATCAAATAGATTACTGCTATTGTTGTTGTTATTAGTGTTAGTGTTAGTTTGATTGAATGTAGAAGTAGTCTAGATTTTCCAAACAAAAAGAACACATTATTAAGATCTTTGTATATAGAATTGACTAACCACCCAAGCCTTTTTCAAAAAAGTTACCAAATCGAAAAAACTCACTTGATTGTTATTCATCATAGGAAACCCATTAGAAGATGAGATTTGATTACCAAGATTACCAGTTTGAGACCAAGGTTGAGAACTCGGATTAGAAACGTTCAAATTACCGAATTGATGATTGAATCCATTGAGATCGTTCAAGTTAGAAGTTTGATGAATCGAATTAGATTGAAAATTAGTAGGCGATTTAGTAGCAAACAATGAAAGAATATCATTTTTGACATCTTTTCTTGCAGCTGGAGCGGTTGCTGTCATGGCTGCTGCTGATGCATTGGGTGAGAAATCTAAATCGAATAATCCTCCTCCATTATTAGGATTAGTGGTGCTAGTAGTTTCAGTACTCGGTTTGGTCGTCATTGATGGATTGATCACATTGGAAGTGGGTTTGGTGACTCCTGAATTTGAAGACGGAGGTGCATCGAGTAAATTGATGGTGGTGACTGTAGGTGGTGCAGCAGTCGCTTTTCCTAGTGTCGCAGATGGTCGACGAGGTGCTTCAGAAGGAGTTGAGACCGTAGGTGAGACGGTCACCTACATGAAATCCATCAATTCCTACAATGTAAGTATAGAGCTAGATTGGTTCGGAAAGGAAAGGATATGGAATTGGAATTAAAAAAAACTTCACTTCATCATTTTCTGTATCTAATGTTTCAGGTTCCGGCATCGGACCTGACATCACCCAACGTTTACTTTCATATTTACTTCTAATAAAACTTTCAATTTTACTAAAGAAAACACAAAATGAATATCAGTCCTACTCAAAGATAAGTTAGAATTGATTAATCTTCAAGAACATTAAAGAAAAAGAGAGGTTTGAAGATTGGGTTGGTTTGAGAGATTCGAAAACTCAACTGATCTGGTGGCATATGACCAGGTCTAAGATGAGCTTCCCAATAAGCATTAGCTTTTCGATTACCCCATCTTTGTACATTTGAAACTTGTTCTGGTGTCCAAGTATCTAAATCTATAGACTTGACTAATTTGAAAAAGAAAAAGATCCCAAAAGCAAAAGCAAAACCAAAAAACGATTAATTGATGAATGTCATTTTGGGTTTCTTTTTGGGGGGGAAAAGTATTTGAGGATGTGAATTTTGAAGGTTAAATAAATGAAGTTAACTTACTTCTGGTGATATGAACTCCCATACTTCTATGTATACCACTACATCTAATACACATAAAACAACCTAAATTGGTAGAAGCCCATCTAGGATCTAAAGAAAACCAACCAAAACAAATCGTCAATTCATTCAAAAGGTCTTCAACGTCTCTCTTTTTCTTTTTCTTTTTCTGATTATGTTTCTATTTTAGAAAGGAATAGATTAGATCAGAGCTTTACCATTTCTTTTACAATCCGCACACGTTTTGTTTTCAGGTAATCTTAACATTGCTTTTAAAGTTTCTGCATGACGAGCATTGAGAGCTTTATTGTCTCTTGCACTTCTAGTTGCCATGACTTGGTGATTTGATTTGATTTAGAAGTTAATGATGATGGTGATTGATTGATGTTGAGAGTTGATTTGAAGAGAAGAAAGAAAGGTGAACTGAGTCTCATGGTAAATGAAGTTCGCGATCAACTTAGTTTACATAATCATTTATGGGTTGGAATGAGTCAGCGGGTTATGGGTTTGAGCAGGGTTGAGTCTCTCCACCTGATTCAGATTGACAAGAGAGGTGGTGATAGTCTCATCGATCACACTTTGAACCCCATCTCAACCCATTTCGACCACCTCAACCATTAATACCAAATCAAATAAAACACCCAAAAAGAAAGATCAGAATAACTTTGAACTTAAACAAATTAAATGTCTTCTTGGTTAGGATTTCAACCTACGATCGAAACTGAAATTAGACTAGAAGGTGAAGATGATCGAAAATCAGTACAAGTTAAAGTAGATAAAGAAAGAAAAGAAAGGTGTCCAGTTTATCTAGATGGTGAAGGTGTACTTGGTCAAGTAAGTTTGATTCATTCATTTGACTTTTCAACATGTCTTGATCACTTGATTACTTACTTTGGTTGGGTTATCTTATATAGGTAGTCATTAGAGTACGTGATGGTAAGGGTATTAAACATGAAGGAATTAAAATCGAATTCGTTGGATCAATAGGTAAGTCATCATTGAAAAAAAAACATTCCACCCTCTCACCCCCCCCAAAAAAACATGACAAAAAATCACAAATACATCATGACATAGTCACTCAAAAGAGTTCCTTCATCTAACTTCAGTTTTGAAACCTATCGATTGAAATATATACATATATATTAAAAATCATTCTACTCTCATTAGAATTATTTTATGATAGAGGAAACCATTTCGAATTTCATACTTTAACACATGAATTAGCAGCACCAGGTGAATTAAAATCAATTCAAACTTATGATTTTGAGTTTAAAAATGTAGAAAAACAATATGAATCTTATCAAGGGATTAATGTGAAACTTAGGTAAAGACAAACAAAATGTTACATACTTCAAGATAGATTGAAGAATTTGAAGGTTGATTTTCGATTCTGATCAAGTGTGTTCTTTGTTTATTAGATATTTTATTCGAGTCACTGTTTCGAGAAGAATGGCAGATGTGGTTAAAGAACGTGATCTATGGGTCCATTCTTATAGAATGCCACCAGAAAGTAATAATTCGATTAAGATGGAAGTAGGAATTGAAGATTGTTTACATATCGAATTTGAATATAATAAATCTCGGTAAGTGTGATTGAATTTTGGACAAGATTTCTAAACTTCTTCAACTTAGAAATGAAGAATAATGATTAAAGTTGATTTTGATTTTGATTCTGTGTGACAGTTATCATCTTAAAGATGTCATTGTTGGTAAAATTTATTTCCTGTTGGTACGTATCAAGATTAAACATATGGAGCTCTCAATCATTCGACGTGAAACAACAGGAGCAGGTCAGTCTTTTCTTTTTTCTTTAATCATCATCCAAAGAAAAATCCACAATCATAAAAGAAAGAAAACTAAATGATTTTTCTTCATAGCTCCAAATCAATATAATGAATCTGAAACGATTACGAAATTTGAAATTATGGACGGAGCACCAGTTAGAGGAGAAACGATACCGATTCGATTATTTTTAGGTGGATTTGATTTAACTCCAACTTTTAGAGATGTGAATAAAAAGTTTAGTACAAGATATTATCTTAATTTAGTTTTGATTGATGAAGAGAATCGAAGATATTTTAAACAACAAGAGATCACTGTGTTTAGATTACCTGAAAATTGATACAAATCCCCAAAACTCTCTTTTCTCTTCTCACTCTCTCTCTCATCTTCCTCTGTGTGTGTTTTCCTTGATCTTTTTCTTTCTTTTTACAATGTATTCAATTTTTATTTTATTTTCGATTTTTTTTCACAATTCTCTTGATCAGCCTTCAAAGAAAAAGACGATCATTGTTCGTTTTCTCTTGCTCAGATCTACATATACATATCAACCTTTTTGTTTTCAATGTAGGACATACTGATTTTGAATTTTGAAGAAAAGACAGATTGTAAAAAAATGAGTTGAATTGAAGCAAAAAAATAAAGCAAAAAAATCACATTCTTGGGTGATCAAGTAGATCTCAACCAGTTTCTAGATTTGACCCTCATTGAATCATAACACAACCAATCCAACACAAGGCTCAAAGCTTGGAGACAAAGATGGTGTTTTTAGCATTGAGTATAAAGAATGTCACAATATACATTTAATTTTCCAAAGCAAAAGTGAGTTGTGTTGCAAGATACATGAAATGACCAAAAAATTTAACATTTGAGCACATTTTGTTTCATATATTACAATTTCTGTGTGGTTGGTTCAACACAGAAAGCATCATCACCATCAAGATATACTCAAGTCCAGTGATGGCCACAATGAAGCTGATGATACAAAATTTACAATTGAGATAGTTTGAACCATTGTCTTTGTGACTTTTGCAGGCGGATTGTACCTTCTCAGGCATTGAGGGAACCAATGTGGTATACCTTCAATTTTCTTACAAGACTTTGTGAAGGGGAGTTGAATCATTGGGTGATTGGATTTACAAAATGGCTACCTTTTTGCTCTTGTTTGGAGGGTAGTTAGCAGATCGAGCAAGGGATTAGCACTCATGCAAAGAAAAGTGCACACCTGACTGAAAGATCACATGCATATTAATTGAGTCCTGCAAGAGCCGCACACTCAGGACCTCAATCAGCTTGGATCACCATCGTCCAAGCTGATTTGGGTGCTGAGCGCCTGGCTGACAGGTCACACAAAGACTATTTAACTCACACATTGGCCACCCACTCATCACCTGAATCAGCTTCACGTCACGCTTGCACAACCCATCTCACTCACTGCTACTTGGTGCATGTAGTATTTTCTCGATTGAAAAATGATTGACCTGAAGGACAAAGATCATTGAAAATGGTATGATTCTGCATTTATTCTGCGTGTGCATTCACTGAATTTTTCTGCATTTACACAGCAATTTTGTTCATCTTTAAAATCAATTCAACCTATAGGTGCCCAGTGTGATTGGCTGGTAAATCATGTTATGTGACATGGTCTTGCCAGCTACATAAAGGCTAGGTGACAAGCATGGGTGAAGGCAATACAGCCTCCCTCATGCTTCCCCCACCTATCCTACACAACCACATGGCAAGAGGGTGCCCTGGTTCCATCTTACAGTCAAATTGGGGAGACAACTTTTGCTATGCATTATCACTGGTTATGCAAATAGGCATAAACCCCCATAATGCAGATTTGTATGCATTTAGGCCTAAATGCATTGAAATATGCATTATGACTGGTTTTTGTTGAAATTGTATAAGTTTATGCAATAGTACATTTGTATTTTGCGCGGGTACAAGGACAAGATATTTTTTTGACGCAGAAAAAAACACCACTACGGGTCGGTTTGACCCCATAGAGGGCTCATTGCTGCCTGATGTTGCCAAAATCCTACTTGCAAAGGATTTGATCAGAGTTCAATGGGAAAAAACACATCCTGGGGCGCTTTGTAGGTATGCATTATGACTTTGGGGACTTGAAAAGAAGTATGCATTATGGTTTTTGACATAATTATGCAATTAATGACAAAATTGGCCCGCACCAGCTGCGTGGAAACCAAAACTTATGCATTTTGGCTGGTTATGCATGTGCGCGGGTATGCATGTGCGCGGGTTTGACTGTACTTGGTCCCAGTTAGAAGTCGCCCTGTGGTTGAGGTCTGGAAAGCCTTTCAAGCCAAAAATATGCCTAATAAAGCTTAAGAGTATGATTCCTTGTGAAGCATGTGAATCATGTACATTGTATAAAACATTGGCATCATGTCAGGAGAGTTGAAGGAGTTGGCCAAAAGATATGATTTTGAAAGAAAATACAAAGACAGTGCCAGGTTGCAGGAACATAATGTTTATTATTTGTTTTCAGAACGAGGAAACACAAAAACATGTGTGCAACACATTGTTCATTTTCCACGCCTTTCCACCGCCAGGGCAAGAAATCATATCCTTTTGCAGAGAAGATGGATTTCAGAACAGAGACCAAGGATGGAGGTATTGGAAGAGAAGAGCTGGCTGGTCAGTGGCATTCACTACCAACTTTAATCAACAAAACAGGATACCAAGATAATGTCAGTCAGGCCAGATCTCAAAGATGAGTGAGAGCAAGTTGTTTTTGGAAATAGAATTATCAACACACGCATGACTTCCACGCTTTGGCATTGAACAGGCTCTCTGATGCGGAATTGTTGGGAGCACTCAACTGTTGATAGACATATATGTTAGTAAAGATAACTGAAAAGGGTCGTATGGGTAAGAGACCATGAGGCTTGAACTTTTGAGAAGCATAACTTACACCCTGCGCCAAAGCGCTGATAACCTCCGAAACAGGTTGAGTCGTCTATCTTGTCGCCATTTTTAGTACAAGTGATAGCCTCTTTTGAAGAAGGTGTAACACCAATCAGCCTTTGAATACTCTGTAAAAAGAGCAGATATCGAAGCAAAACCCAATGAAGGTTTCTCTCTCCAGCAGCTACTGTGTGATATGGAAAGCACTCAACTGGGTGCCAGTCGTTTCTCGTCTTTAAGAACTGCAGCTTTTTTACAGGTGAAAGTAGAGTTTCTGCCTATACAAACTGTGGTACAGAAGACCGCGAAATTTGAGAAGCTTCAGCACTGGATCAGGTTCTTTTAATATATAGACAGGGACATCGCAAAGGGTGTCTGACTATTATGGGTACCAGGTTTGCTGTTTGAATTAGCCCCCGGAGGGAACCAGGCTACACTGCATAAATCTATACAGATGTGAAGCGAGTTGTTAACATGTGTTTTTTATATTTATTAGGTAACACTGATAGAGTCTCGTGGAATTGAAGAGGATTGGAAACTCACGACTGCCGGGAGGGATGCTAGGAGGTTGGCCGTCGCCTTTTATGTGCTGAGAGAGACTGGCGGAGAGGGCGCAAAGGGCTACGAGGAAATAGGCGGTGAACATGTTGTTTTTCCTTTCTGAAACGGCTGACTGAAGGTCTTGACCTGATTGATGCTGAGAGTTGATGGGTTGTTGAAGAAGGATAAGAAGATAAACAAATGTGAATTGAAGCTATGATATCGAATTTGGGTATTGACAATCTATGGACGAAATACTGAAGTGAGAGTGATGATGACTCTGGGGAGGGTGCGAGGTTCAGCATCGCGAGCTGATCACAATCTTATACTCAAAGTCGAACTTACAATGCTGATGGATGACAACGTCGCTTAGGATTTCGCACAACACATATTTCAAGGCAAGATAGGAAAAATGACGGGTTCAAAAGTGACATCATGATCCAGGGTCTGATTCGTGATTGAAGTCCATGACATGACCGATCTCGCCACTACATACTGAGCCCATCTGCTCGGTAACATCATACGAGGGGCCGGGCCAAAAGGAAGCAACCTGAGTCCTATCAACAAAAGCAAAATCTCACAACAAAGCCTTGAACTGGAAGTGAACTCGCGCTAGAGCGGACCTGATATGGAGGTCTAGATGTAATCTCAAGGCAGGTGTTTCAGCAAGCCAAAGACGTCACATCTATCACCGAGTGAAGTAATAATTGAGCCAAACGAACCCCTAACTTAACTAAGTCCCTCATGATTTCGCCGGTATTGTCAAACTGAGCCCTCGGAAAATATCTAAGAGTCATTCTTATCCATGAAAGAGCAAAATCTCGAATAATGCGGAGATCTGAGCACTCTTCTGCCTGTCTCAATGGTATGCCTCGAGCTCTAACTCAACACAAGTCCAAACCTCCCACTCGAGCTATGTTACTTGTAAAGGGACAAAAGGGTATATCAAAATGAGAAACAATGGAGAAGTTTACACAGTTGGTCGAGAAGTGTGCGCAAAAGAAAAGTTTCTCTAGATACGGAGAGAAATCACTCCATCTCTGTGTGGGTTACTTGTTCACTTCTCATTTTATACTCATTTCTCACTTTTATTCTTTTTATGAACAATTATTTTTCTTTTCTTGTGTTTTCATTTCTCATATTTATTTCTCTATTTATGTAATTCTTTTTCTCTCTTCCTTTCTTATTCAAACAATCTTGTTTTTGGGTCTTCACCTTTTCGGGTTTTGACCCGGTGTGGGGGGGGCCGTAGGCCGAGGACTGTCTGTCTGAGAAAGGGTTTTCTACCACCCAATCTCTGGACGGATGGCGTCCTGAGCTCGTCGAAAACCTGTCTACGACAGTAGTCCAGATCTACATTGTATTATCTATGCATTTCAACTTTAATTCAGTTCCTTCAAACCTTATTATCTCCCCCATTCAATCCCCTTGTGTATTTATCTGTTCTCCCGATCTCCTTATCGCCACTTTCTCTCTTTTCTCTTTGTGTTTCTATTTCTTCTTATCTTGATCGGCTTTTTGTTTTCTTTTCTGTGGTTCTTTCTGCATCTCCTTAATATATCATCAGTTTTCTTTTAATGACCCTTCAATCACTTCGTTTACTTACGACTTGCTTCTCTTGCCATTTTTCGTATTCTAGGAGTTTCCACAACTCCTTGGTCTCCTTTTTCTCTTCTTGACTATACTTCCGCAAGTATAGTTGATATGCTTTTGATTGCCAGCGTCCAATTGTCGTTATTTCCTCTATCGGTCGTCTTTCATTCCACCGTAGAGTTGCTCCTCCTACTCTAAAAGAATGCCCTGATAAATTGTTCTCTTCGTCATAAGATTTCCACACTCGTTTATAAATTCCCAATAGTTTCGATTTTGATATTACACTCCTTGTTCCGTCTTCTTCTAGATATGAGAATAATGGATCCTTCGGTCCCGTTTCATTATCAACTACCATCCTTTCAATTGCTGCCATGGCATCGAGATAAGATTTTTGCGCTTTTAGTTTTATGTATTGCACCTGTCCCGGCTGTGCCGTCTTCGCGTTGAAGAGTGCTATTGTCACTTTATCTGCGTCTGTTGACCATTGTGTGTCTTTCCTCCTTGCTAGTTTTTTCTTCTTATCGTCTGATGCTAACTCGCCTAACCTTGCCATACCCCAGAATGCGACTAATGCGATTGTCAACGCCACCTGATCCCTCTTACTGCCATTCAACAATTTCCTCAACAGTTGTACCAAATGTCTCAGTAAGATTGGTTGTTTCTGATCTTTTTCTGACTCTTGTAATACCGCTTCCGCTAATTTTGATGACTTAAGTAAAACTGATAACTTCCATTGATCATATTTTGGGTATTCTTCATCATTAAATAGATGCCAGCATTTGATTCCGGTAAGGTATTTCTTTAACGTTTCCACCTCTATCGTTGATGAGATCTGATTCTTCTTTTCTGACTTTCCATCACTGTTTAACTTTTTTCCTGCCCAAACTACAAATTTATATAATACATCTATTGACAAAGGTAGTAATTCTTTCCGTTCGTAACCTTCTTCATCCGCAAATTTTATCAACTTTGAAACGCCACTGTTATAATTTATCAATGTTGTTTCCGCCCATCCTCCAGCTAACATGTGGGTTTGTACTGCATCTCTCCTCCAGTTAACTTCTCCTTTTGCGTTCTGAAGGAACCATTTCAATTTATTTTCTGTTTTTTGTGAAATCATAGTTCCTCTAGCAGTTCCTTCAAGTCTTCTGGTAATTCGATTTCTAGTCTTGGTCCTTCTTGATTCTCTTCATCAACACCTCTCGATAACCCGTCTGTGTTGTTATCTCCTGATGTCACTCTTTCTTCGGTTATGTCACACTGCAATCTCAATAACAAGGTTTGTATTTTCTTCCACTCTTCGTTAACCAATTCGCTTTTTGATCTTCGTTTATTGATTGTTGATTCTGTTGGCGTATTGTCAGTCTTAACCCAGAAGTTCTGCCCTCTTACATCTGTCGTTTTCTCTAGCATCAGGATTCCGATTCGTATCACGCAAGTTTCAGCCCATGCGATGTTCCTACGAGTTTCATCTTGTCGAAGGCCTTTTACCTCCCAACCTTCTCTTAATTTATATCTCACCCAGCCGTACTTTAGGATTACGCCGATTCCTGTTCCACTAGCGTCTCCTACCCATCCAACTCGTTCTGGTTCTACCGCGGGAATTATTCTTCTTGGTTTGAAGTTTGACAATGCATCTTTCCAACTCTCTAGGTCTCTTCTCGCTGCTGGTGATAGGAACCGTTTTGCGTTTGTTTTCATCCACGGATTCAGCCAAGCATATAACCCTCTCATGTAAGGTTTCATGTGGGGTACTATGTAAATTAGATGTGCTATCTTTCCTATAAGTGAGTCTGCTTCTTTTAACGTCCATGGTCCATCCTCTTCCAACATTTTGATTATTGCTTCTAATCTTTCTTGCAATTTTTCGTCTGGCAGTCGAACAGTCTTCTCCACTCCGTTGAATATAAATCCTAGGTACTTTTGCTCGTCTGCAAAATCTCTCAACTTTTCTCTGTTCGTTTTCACTCCCATTTGCGTGCTTAATTCTACAATTTCTTCTATTCGTAAGTCACTTCCTTTCACTCTTACTATCATATTGTCATCCACCCATCTGAAAATTCTGTCTATTTTTAGGTGTTTTTGGATTATTAATCTCCAGGTGTCTGCTACTTTTCCAAACGTTCCACATCCTGCAACTCCTCCGAATGGCACTGCTATATCCATCCAAATTCTATTATAGAAATCTTTTATGCACAGATATCTCCATTCCTCTTCTTTTGTGCAGGCTTGTCTATACGCCTTTTCCCAATTGTATATCGCCATTTCAAGATCTACATTGAAGTTCAACCTAAAATATTGTGCGACAGCGTGAAAATCGTCCCAGGTTGTGTCGAAGTTATGTTTATCTACCATTGAGTTTACCAACGGCGTATTTTCTTCACCTACTGGGTATGATAAGTCATTTATCATCCTTAACGTTCCATCATTGTTCACGACGCTTCCCATAGGATTTGATCTGAAGAATCCCCATTTTGCGTACATCTCTTCATGGGTGAATGGCCCAAATATTCTTCCAGCTGCTTTTTCTTTTTGTAAGTTTTTCATGATTTTTCCTTCTACGGCTCTTGCTGAACTATGATTATCAGGAGTCCACCATCTTCTTCCTCTTAAATAGTGTTCTGGGATTCCTTGTGTGAACCCTTCCTCCAATCCTCTTATTACCTCTTGTACGTCTTCCTCTATGTTCCATTTCTTTGCTAATTCCTTCCACTTTTTGATGTTCATGTCACATTTTGCTTGTGATGGCCACTTCCCGTGAGTGCAATTTCTTCTCTCTTCATGCTTTTTGTCAGCCTGAGACATCAAGTAGGTGAAAAACTTGTTAGTTCAGGGTTGAAATATACTCACAAAATGTATTCTATCTAGATTTCGACAAGAGTCTTTTGAAACTAGAGGGAGATTATTTTTCGAGTTCTTTGCGAGTAAGCGATATTAGTTATAGTCGTTAGTTATAACTGTCTTAGGTGTGGAATGGAACCGCTGCCAGTTTTGAAGATAAAAGTGCACTCACTTTTACTACCTTCCAAGGAGAATACAGGTTTTAAACGTAAGCGGTGCCTTAGGATGACGCTTCAGCGTTGGTTTGATAAACCAAGTCTTTATCAAAAAAGGGTATATGAATTTAGGAACTTTAGTCAAAGATAGATTATACTATCACGATCTTTAACGTCCTGAGGGGGTAAAGGATAAGGATGGAAGAGAAAAAGAGATCTGTCCAAGACACTAGCTTGATACGATAAGAAACTAAAAATTAAGATTCTAAGTATGGCTATGAACTGGATCAGATGAATGAAATAAGAAATGGAAAAAATGCGGGTTTGATCTTTCTAAAACAGAGGATAGTTTAAAAATGAATTTGTTTAATAAAGTGTAATGTAAAAGATGATTCTCCTCTCTTTTCGAGGTAAGCTCATTGTTTATATATCCTGGTCAGCGAGTGTTCTTTAATGAATCTTCAGGGTTTGATTACATCACTTAACTGTTGCTGCCTAGTCCAGTTTAATATGTCGGTGATGTTTGTAGTTAAGGGTTTGCCTAGTCAGGGTTTGTTTGATTGACTGGACCCTTATCTTTTTTGTTTCTTGGTTGTCTTGATAGCTACGCTTTCAATTTCTTACCTCATATTTTCTTAAGTAATGTTTTTTAAACATAACTTATTAAGTATAATTTTTTGTATGTTACTTCAAATGTAAAAAGACATTTTATTCTAAGTTTTACACTCTTGACACTGAGTGATAGCGATGTGGGTTTTCTTTTTATAAGTCTGGTTTTAATCAATGGTTCAACCATTTATTTGTATGTTTGTTAAATAGGTAGAGGTTCTGATCCACAGAAGCTCTTATAGTTGACACTTTTTGTTGCATATCTCTGACATTTCATTTATTGACTGTTGTTGTTTGGGTGTATTTTCTGTCGTTGGCTCTAGGGTGTCCTTTGGCGGATTCACACTTCTCAGGCTTCTCACTTGTTGATCTATCGATCTTGGCTTTTCACGTGATCTAAAATTCAACATATGACAGATCAAACTCAACTCAGTTTCTCACTCACGACTCTCAGTAACTTTTTGCTTTTATTAAAGCGGTTCATTGCACATGTTTTCTTATATGGCAAAGATTTAAATGAAATTCCGTTTAAACAGTAAAACAAATCATATCATCTTAACTCACTGTGTCACCGCTCCACTACTGCTTGCACTGCTTTGCTTCGCTGCTTTTATCGCTTCGAAAGCTCCTGGACCAAACTTTGGTACAGCCACTCCATTCACCAACGTTGTAGGCGTAGTGTGAGTTGTTTGTCTCGAGTTTCCTCCTCTATTTCCTACGCCTCTTCCAAAACTTCTTCCTCTCTTTCCTCTACCTCTGCTGATGTTTCCATTCCCATGTTCATGATGATCTAGGTGTGAGTTGTAGTTTCCTCCATGATAGGCGTGTTGGCCGTGTGATGTATTTACGTGATTCGCGTGACTTCCTCCCGCTGAGGCTAGATGTGACAACATTCTACCTCCTGACACCGCTGTTATCTGCTCATCACCGTTAGCGACTAGGTCCCATCCTACCTGATGTCTACCTGTCCAAGGGTTCACATGTTCTAGAGCTCCTCCTACTATGTAAGGGTTATCAAAGTATCTATGATTGTTGTTTGCTTTCAAATCCGTGATTGCTTGTTCTTCCAAAACTTCATTCTTCTGACCAACATCGGACAACGATCCATCAGGTAATGTGTGACTAAATACGTTTGTCCGGTGAGTGATGTCGTATCTTAATGCTGGGGCCCATGCTTCGTGATATTTTGATTTTATAGCTAATACAACTTTGTAATGTTCTTCTAATCTAGCTGCTATATCTTCTCTTCCATATTTCACTCTCCAATATTGAACGTACAGATTGAAGGATGTAGACCACATTAGGAAGCTTTGCCTCCATTTGTTCGGGACCCTCAGGCCTACATAAGCGACTATATCAGAACAAGATGTGGACTGTTTCTTTCTATTCGACATATGTGTCTTGTCCGCTAATAACCAAGCTTGCACGAAAATCGTTAGCGGTACATAGCCAAAACAAGCTTGCATTCTGCTGTCCCAATATGGAGATAGGTCAATCAATTGGTGAGTTAAGACTGTTCCATGATTCATCGTCTTCCCAATTTTTGCTGGTTTTTCCGCTACTTGCGTCTTGCCTTTTCTTTTTGATTGATTTACTTCCACCTCTTCTTTGTCGCTCGAACAGCCTAACATCACTACACTCTTTGGTTCTACTCCTGCCTTCTCGCACCATTTTTCGTATGCGATCTCTAGCATTTGGAATCTAGCCATCTTGCCTTTTTTGAATAGTCTCTCTAATTCCGCCACATATCTATCACTTTCTCTCTCGATGTGCGCGTTTTCGATTACGAATTCTGCTTCATTTTCTACATTTCATCCCGGACAATTTTCTTTTATCAGTTTTGCTCTTTTCACTTTTTCATTGTTTTTCTAATTCATCTCTTTCTGAACCTTTAGGTTTTCTCAAGCTGTTTCCAAAGGTCCATTCATGCAGCCTCAAGGATATGTGAGCTTCTATTCTTCTTATTCGGTCTTTTTATATTCAAGCCGTCCTCATGGGATAATCTAGCTATCTTTATCAGATATTCACGCCATCCTTGTAGGATATTCTAGCCATCCTTATAGGACATTCAAGCCATCCTTATTAGGATATTCAAGCCATCCTTGTCGGATATTCAAGCCATCCTTATATGATATTCAAGGATATTCAAGCCATCTGTCGGCCTGAGACTCTAAGTCATGGCAGATGACTGGTAGTTCAGAGCTGAATAGTACTTACAAAATGTATTCTATCAAGTTTTAGACAATATTATTGAAACTTGAGGGAGATTATTTTTCAATTCTTTGTAAGTAAAAGGAACTATAGTCGTTACGTATAGTTGTCTTAGGTGCGGGATGATTACCGCTGCCAGTAGCTTATCGAAGTGCAATCACGACGGTAGCCTTCTAAGGTGAATACGAAGGGATTCGTGGTTATTCCTTAGGTGACGCTTTAGCGTTGGTTTGATGAATTTATCATCAAAAGGAAAATGAGAGACTATCTACAATATCAATTCAAATAGTAAGGAAACCATCAATTGATAAAGAGATAGTGACTCAGAGAAAAAAAGGGTGTCTTTGATATGAAAGAAGATGCGATAAAGGATTCTAAAAGATAAGAATTCTAAATAAGTCTTCTTTCAGATGAAAGATAAACAAAGAAGGATTTTGATGTAAAATGCTAATTCATTGATGAGTTGCGGTAAAAAGTGGTACGGTATAATGTTAAGATTGTTCTTCTTTGTTTGGATGCACAGAATCCTTGTTTTATATATCAGAGAAAAGTCACTCGCTCTGAGCTAGACTGTCAGGGTTTTCCCTGGATGCTGTCATCAGGGTTTGATCTTGAAACACGCAACATCAATAGGTTACTTCTTGGAGTCAATCAATACCCTATTTTGGGACTAGGGTCTTGTTGCTTTCACGGTTGGTAATGACCTGAAATTCATTGCTTGTGTTAACAACTCTGAACCGATGTGTACATAAATGATGGCTGACACATGGGAGTATCACAGAATACTCCTCATGGCTGACACCATCTGTTTCCAGATATTCAAGCTATCTATTGTGGTGTGTATTGTATGTGGAGTATATATATAATAAAGATGATTATGATTGTGAGTTGTTTCTTACCTAGTGAAATGTTGTCTTCTTCTCTATCAACTCCTTTCTCCTTGTTTGTTCCCTCTTCTACATCTTCATTTGCCTCATCGTCTTGCTCGCTTCCTTCTCCAATTGACGTTAACTCCTCTTCTTTTTCACTTCCATTTCTTTCATCTTGATCATTGTTTTCTTTGTCTGTTGTTCCATCTTTTGGATTTCTAATTTGACCTTTTGTTATGCTCCGTGTTTGTCTATCTGATGACTTTCTACCTCTTCCTCTGCCTCTTGTACCTTTTCCTCTTCCTCTGCTTGTATTTCCTCCTCCTTGCTGTTTTTTCTCTGTTTCGTGATTTGTTAAAATAAGGTTTACATCTTCATTAAAGGCTTCTGTGCTCGCTTGTACTTGTGATGTCATTCTTGCGTCTTCTTTTTTGAAAATGAAATAGGAATATTTCTTTTGGAGGTTATAAATCTTTTAGATTTTTGATTCGAAGCTGAAGGTGTATGAGTGGTTGGTGGTGTACTGAAATTATGAAATTTCAATTTTCACATTTTGTACACCATTCTCTCTTGGGGCCGGGTATTGTCCCGGCCCTGTTTCGGACTCATACACCACGTCACCGTACTCGATGGAACTCACAGGTGACGTCGTGCCTTTTGGCCACCTGTGTCAAGGAGATGAGAAACTGGGAAAGCAAGTCCCCGAGAGGAAGAAGACAAGAAAAGGGGCGCCAGGAAGAGGAAACCATGTTCTGGTCGAGTGTGCTACTTGATAGTGGTTCAGAAAGACTAAGGTAATATGGGTGGTCACATACGTGTCCTGGTCAATTTTCATGATGCGTTGATAAAAAGATTTTCAAACAAGAGTAAACTACTACTCCTCATCCTCCTTTGTGCTTTGCTCCGCGAAACGATTTCCATAGCCCACTTCCTCAGAAAATAAAGTCACACAGAACCTACTTCACAAGTGAACGCGGTAACCAGAAATACCAGGCTTAAGGTGCTATGGCCCTTCCTTTAAAACTCGCTTTACTTCTTAGCACCTCCACTCGATACTAACCTCCCATATGCGCATGCCACTATGCCATCATTTTGATTTTGTACACCATCAGTACACCAAGCCATCAGTAAGCTTGATCTTTGAGCTTCGAATAAGAACACAAATAAAAGAATCTTGTAATATAGCCGGCTTGGTATGAGAAGACATCAGTTCAAACAAAATCAATTGATCACTTGTGCAATTTGTGGCAAACAAGTCAAGTGTTTTTCAAATATGTTCTGTTTATTTATTTCGAAAAAAGAAGTTTCAAGTGAGTATTGATCAATGATTCTTACTTTTGAATACACTAGAAAATATGCGGGCTTGCCCGCAACAGGGAAACTCCTATATCACATATCCAATGGTTCCAAAATAACACACTGTAACTTACCACTACTGTAAACATTGAATACTCTGTATCAACCATAAGGAATGGTACATTCCACCACATCATTTATTTTCTGAACCTGTCCTCCCAAGGCATTCACCTGGCCATAGTAATGCAGACTGTGCCAAAATGCAAAATTACATGTGCCACTATTATTTACACTTAATGAAAGTGTAACTCAAAGTTAAATGTGACAGAAAGTTCCTAACACACTACAATGACCATGAATGATTATACAATCCTATTGCAACTTCTCTCACAATATATTGTTTAATGAATGATATCCCGTGACCAATTGGACAAGGACAGGGAAATATTTGTATCCCGCTTCACAATCTGTAAAGAAAGATAACACTTGAACAGATTGATATTCATCAACCTCTTTCCAGTATAATGAATAAGCTGCATAAGCCTCATGCAGAGCAAATCCACAAGGCAAACATAGTTTTCTAAACTGGTTACTGATAGTCTAAACAAACAATACATGTTCAGCTTTGTTTTGTCACCATGATAGTATAAAGCAATTGGAACTTGTGTTCCAGAAATCATATTTCTGACGTCAAATCTGTGGTTGAATTCATTTTTTTAATGGTGTAAATAATTTTGATCAGAATTTTCACCATGGAACAGATTTAAAAGTGAAGGAAAAATAGAATGAGTAGATAAATTATTTAACAAGTATTCATCTTGATTGATTATAGATGAATGAAATGTAATTTCAGAGTAGAATTGGATATTGGGAAATCACTGTAATTTCAGTGCAAGTTATACAGATTTTGATTAGGAAATTCAAGCAAATTATTGCTAAAAGAATTGATAGGTTTTTATTCAGTTGGAGTAAAGACATCTAGTTGATCTGACAATTGAAGATTACCAGAAGAAGCCTTTGTTTGATTATGTTGATAAAATTCAGCAACTTAATGATATGTGATGGATTCTGATAATTTTTCAGTCTCAAAATTCTTCTGATCAGGTATGTAAATCGAATTCTGAGGTGGACCTCTTGTTGTTATCTCTGTGGAAGAATTTGGTGATTGATTAGAACAGACTTTTTGATCTAAACTTGCTGAGCCAGGTCCAAGAAATTGATATCAGGAAAAGGGTTTCATACAAAGAAATTGATTTTGTAATAAAGGACTCAGGTTGTTTCATATGATTCTTCTGGAGGTAGTTCTTTACTTAAAAACAATTCAAGTGGCTGAAGATCTGAACTTGAGTCAATTTCTTGAGACCAACTGGTGGATGAAGCCAAATCTAAATTGTCATTCTTTATGGTCTCTCAAATTTTCTTTTATCTGGGAAGTACCAATGGAAAAAATCAATAAAAGTTAATTTCACCGCTGTCTTTGTGATGAATAGATGGATCTCTTGACAAGGTATGCATGATTGTATGTGTGTGGTTCTTTTTGGATATCATAATGAGGTCACAAAACATTTTGAATCAATTCTTCTTTACTTATTATGAGGAGACATGTGTTTTTTTCTCTGAGAGATTGAAAATTATTGACTTTGTTTGATGGATTGGATCAGGTTGATCATCCTACTTTATGGTGAAGAGAAGTTTCAAAACAAGGCTTTTCTTCTTGTTGATGTCCTTGCACTGTGTCCCATCTATAACTGCTTTGTCTTTCTTTATCAGTGGGTTTGGTCTTACAGTCAAGAAGTCAAAAATTTGATATCCATCCCTCTCTTTGAACCTCTCTATCCCTCTCTTTCTCTCCTGGTGAAAATTGACAGCGGTCAACCAAGATTGTACAACATCATAAGAAGAAAGAAAAAATAAGTGAATTGGAAGTGGAAAGAATCAAAAATTTGGGACATAAGGTATCACAGCCTTATTTTTGGTTAATGAAAACAAAGTCAAAACACAGTGTCATTTTACTAGTCACTGGCAGGGCAGTGAGTTCCATTCACCTCAATCCAATCTCAATTCAATGTCAGTCCAATATCAGTTTGACCTCCAATTATGTTTGAGTGGGGGCTATGCATGGGCTGCATAATCTCTCAAACCTTCCAGATATTCTGACACCTTCATGTGTGGACATGCAACCAAACTTTATTCCAGTTCTTTCTGGAAGGTTGTTTGTCTGCTACTCTAGGCCAAACATTGAGATTGGATTGATATTGAACTGACATGGATTTGAGATTGGATTGAGATTGGATTGAGGTGGACGTACTGGCCTGCCAGTGAGTAGTAAAATGACACTGTGAAAGTATAAGACTACATATCTGCTGCATTTGAGAGGTAAAAGTTGTGATTAGTAAGTAACACTTTTTCAAAATTCATTATTGACTTGTTCAAGCTCTACAACCGCAGCAATTACTGATCAAAGGTGCACAATTTGTGATTTGGGGATTCAGGTCATAAAACAGATGAAAATTGAAATTATTTGAGGTTGTTCAATCTTTTATCTGAACCTACGCAGTTGATTATGGGCAGGCAGAACCAAGGATTTGTGCAAACTAACAAAAGAGGTAATGAAAGTTTGAGACTAGCTACAATGTGGGATAGGTAAATATTGAGCACAGGATTGTTGATTGAGTACGGAAAATCAGGGAATGCAATGGTGACTGAAGATGGGCCTTTTTATAGCCTGGATTGGTACCCATAGGCAGTGCAAAAGCGAGGTGGCAGTGATAGGAAATGCCCTGATTTTCAAAGGAAAGAAACATAAAAATTCATCAAAAGGAATTTGAATGGCAAAGAGAACATTGGACAAGGTGTAAAAGAACCGTGTTCTCTTGAAGATAGAAAACAAAAAGCACCAAAACATCAATAGTAAGATCAATGAACAGGGACAAGGTTGTTATTCCAAAATGGAATTAAAGCGGAAACTTAGTGGTGTTAAATATGAAGGACATAATTGGTGGAAACAAAAAAAGTGTTGCTTTGCAAACCTGGCCTCTTTATCAAAGAAGTTTGATATTGAACTAGAGCAGTGTTGCACAAACAGAAACCAGAGTCCAGATAACAAAAGTAGTAACCAACAAAAGCTAAAAAAGCCAATATGACTTGATATCCAAAGATGGACCCAATGGACGGAGAAGAGGAGGGACCGGAATATGCAAGTGGTGCATCTTTTTAGTATTTATATTTTTGTAGACAAAGCACATTCCATTTCTAAAAAAAGGTATCAAAGAATAAGATATTGAACAATGAGTTTTTTATGTCATCCAACGACCAAAATAAGCTTCAAAAACGCTCCTAAAATTAAAAAAAAAACAGGTTTTGATCTGGTTGAATTTTACTGAATTTCAAGATGTTTTATAAAAAGATTCTTACAAGATCGTCCATTTTTGATTTCCTGCTTCTTGGAAAACCAAAGATCTAGGTCCATAAAAGACCTAAATGATCAAATCTCAAAAACAGAGCCCATTCCTTCTCTCCAAGAAATTGAAGTAAAAAGTGAGATTGTAACTTACCTGATCATCAACTTCATCTTGATGTCTGGGTAAACAATGCATAAAAAATTTCCAATTGTTTTTAGCATTACCCATCTTACATATTTCCTCTGTGATTTAATATCCTTCAAGATTCTTTAATCTACATTTCATCTCATCTTCTTGTCCCATTGAGAACCCCGGAAAAATCATGTTTTATGGATCATTCCATCTTTTTGAGGAAAAAAAGAGTTTTTCAAGATGAAGACACACACTTACCATGTATCTGTAACAATCACATCAGCATCTTTTATAGCTTCAAGCAGATCATGGAAATGAAGCAATTTGCCCCCTCTATGAACCTCTGAGTCTTCAACCAAACCAAGCTTCATCCTTTCCAAAACCCTAGGCTCTAATTCATAACCCTTGGGAGTAGCAATATCCAAATTGATACCTAATACAGAATAACTAATAATCATATCATTCAAATCCTGAAAATGTATGAGTGAATCAGAATATGATCCTATAAGTATGACACCTGATGAAACGCTATGAGTAATAAGTAGGTGTACTATATCCTGCTCTTAGGAATAGTGACTAACCTGTTAAATGTTAGGTGATAATAAGATAAAGCACACATGAATAATGTGAGCTGTGATCTAAGTCAAAGATGAGAGTTCTCTTTTCCAAAGATGTTTTTAATTACCTGATGAAAGCACTATGAGTAATAAGTAGGTGTACTATATGCGGCTCTTAGGAATAGTGACTAACCTATAACAAGATAACACAATACAAAGAAAAAATCAATCACTAGTTCATAGAAATGAAATGATAATAGAGAAGAACTGTTAAAGCACCTGTTAAAGGTTAGGTGATAATAAGATAAAGCACATGTGGATAATGTGAGCTGTGATCTAAGTCAAAGATGAGACTAACAAACTCTTATCAGATAATGATTCAATTCAGAGGAAAACAAGTTTATGAAATATGTATGTTCTCTTTTCCAAAGATGGGAAAAGAGAACTAAAACAGAGAGCCCGAAGATTATAAGGAAAAGGGATTTGAGTAATTGGGGTTAAATGAAATGTATGACATCATTCTTGTCTATCCTTCATTTAAGTGATTCTTTCTTCTTTAACCCTCAAGGCTTGTTAAGTTTTACTTATGTTCTTTACTAAATTATCTCCTTACGTCAATTGACCATCAACAAATCCAATACATTATTTAAATCTCCTATCCATTTCATCGCATACAAAAATTTCTAAGAAGGGTTCTCTAGTTTATTAAATGTTGATTATCTTTTTGATATTCAAGATTTTTTGTTTCTCTTGCTTGCATTCTACTAAATGTTGTTTGTATTTTTGTCTCTGACAGTTCCTTGTTTATCTCATGTACATAATTAAGATTCTTTTTGTTCAGGCAATCACTGCTGAGCCAGCTCCCTTATTTTTAAGGTTCATGGCTTGGTTGAGGGGGGGCGGAGGCCATGGATTGCCTGTTGGAAAAGGTTTTCTACCACCTTCCTCTGGACCATATTGTCCTGAGCTTTTCAAAACCTTTCCACAACAAGTTTCCAGAGGCTTGCACATTTCTCACTTTCTTCTCTCTTTTTTTCTTTCCAATTGTCTTGTATTACCAAGATCCTTGTTACCCCCCTCTTCTTATATTTGTTTTTAATTCACTTTACATATGTGTCTATCTGTACAAGGATTCAAAGCCTGAGTAATCAGTCTGGTAGATTTATCATGCACTTCTCTTTTAAAGTTTGTAAACTGTATTTGTTATCAATATAAATCTCAGTCTAATTTGAAAAATCATCACCTATCATCACACTTTCAACTCAATTGACTCACCTGCATATCATTCACTCCCTTGTGCCTCCCTTTCGTATCAGTCTTCTTCTCAGTTCCCTTTTCATTTGTTTTTCTGCCTCTCTCCTTTGCATTCTTGGAACGAACCACCATAACACAGGTGGTTCGGATGTCCATGAGAACTTGGAGCGAATCCGCGTGTGACAGATGAGGCGCGTGAAATCTCAGTGAAATAAACTACAGTGTAGTTTGAAGGATTTCCACCATCTGAGATTTTTCACCCAGGCGAATCTCTCACAGCAAGATCTCGATCAAAGTTCTCACGATTCACATTGGTGAATACTTCGCGCGAAATATTGCAAGTTATCAAATTAACAGAAACCCCCGTCAAATAGACTTAAAGAGCGTAATCAACACAAGACAAGAAAATGCAAGCAGCCTTAGATCGAGCAGCTGAAGCGGCCGAAGCGCTGAGAGTCACGAGGTCTCATTCGGTGGCAACTGGGCAAGCTCCAGGCCCGCCATTGGCGACCCCAAGACGCAATTCGAACAAGCAACCAACCTTGCCACCACAACAACCACCACCACCTCCTCCACATCCTCAACCCCCGGCGATAGAAATTCCAGACGACGTCGATGACCTAGACGGCGACGAAATCACAGAGGGAGACGGAATAGGGGAGGTAGATGGCGATTTACACCGTCTGGACGACGGCCCCCTGCTAGAATCAGACGAGGAGGACGACTCCTACGCCCCCCCTAGAGATAAAGGGAAAGGTCGACGAGATGATACCTCGCCCACCCCTAGCAATTCAGGATCCGGATCAGCTTCCTCGCAACGCCTTCACTCGGGCGAAGGTAAATATATCTCACCTTCTTACTCCTTACCCTACCCTTTCACAACCGCGCTCCTTCCCTCTCTGTCTATCTTCCACCTCCATCTACCATCCTCACCAAACCGGCCAACCTCGCATTCGCACTGTGTCACCACCAAGACTCGACGGAAAGCGCAGGAAGCGGAGCACATATACTCCCATGTGGGCGGACTGCACCAGACGAGAAGCATGTCCATGATGCCCGTAGCGGTCGGGAGGCCAGGACACCCATGATACCCAAGGGGTTGGGGGGCGCCTAGCGAGAGCCATGAAGCCCAAATGTGGCGAGGGCTGTACAAGTGGTTTGAGACGTGGCCCAAGATCCCTGAAAGAGAGGGGGGCCGGAGACGAGTGGAACATAACCCACGAGCATTTCTAGAACGAGAACAAGACGCTGACAGTCAGTTTCACCATCTTCAGACAACAGAGTGCCGTCATCAGACCCAAACGTACGAATCACTCAACTGTACAACGAAGGCCGTTACGCAGAGGGCGCAGCCCTCTTAAACCACATAATGGCAAACCTCGAGCGGCAGGCGCCACGAGAACGCGAGAGCGGCCCGGTGGCGAGTGGCAGCGGTCTACCTCACAGCAGACCCTACTCGTTAATCCAAGACCGACTTTCCTCGCACTCGAGTGAGTGTGAACCTCTGGCGAAACGCCCTCGCCAAACACCCGCAGCGGCAAGAGGCACAAGCCTCCAGGAACGTCGTACATCATATCTGACGTCGGATCGAGGCGACACACCAGCACCCCCCCCCCCCGGCTCAAGCATCACATAACCCAGGACAGCATTCGACCCCTCGCGAGTCAGCAGAGATCCCAGCGCTTCCAAGCACGTACAACACGGAAGTCACGGCCGACACACACCCTTGACAGAGGAACAGCAAGTAAAGCTATTGATGGCCTCGAAGAAAGGTCGTTTGGTGTTAAGAAACGGTGACGTTGTTGAAAACGGACGCTATTTGGTCGCGGACCCCAAGGACGAAATGACGAAAAGCTTAACCCCCCTGTCACCAGTCTTAACGCAGTGGCTTCGCACCTTCAAGTCATACATCCCTCTGACGGTGTTCAACAAAATCTTCCTGATCGACGACCAGCAAGAATGGAGTAGGAGGAAGGCTCCCTCTGAATCCAAGATCAAAGACGGCAGCTCCTCCTTGAGAGTTTACAGTGGCGCCCCCCCTCCGGAGGAACTCACCATGCAATTTGAGCAGTGGATCGACGCAATGGCCTTGTTCATCAAGTACGTGGCCCAAGAAGGGTGGGTAACTCTAGCGGAGAGGTTCGAAGGCCATCGAAACGTCGTGATGGAGCTCCGAGACCAGTTCGGTTGGATGATCGCACTCAGATATTGTCAACGCCTCCGTCAAGGCGTGATGCGTGAAACTACGGACAATCACATCAAAAACTTCAGCACACTGCAGTCCGCAATCTTTGAGGAAGCCAGGGTGACGGCAGACGCCAACCACAAAAGGGCCTACCGCACCAACCCCTATGCGCAAGATGGCCCCCTCGCACACATCAACCCCTTGACAGGGCTACCCCGCACGACGACGACGAAACGGCCCGCGGTAGAGCTAGCGCCAACCACCTACCAGTTGACGAACGCAGCGACATCAGGTCGGAAACCCAAGGATGACTGGATCGCTTCTCACGTCTGGAAACGCATGACACCACAGGAGAAGAGCGAGGCGAAGAGGCAGAGCTCATACTCGGGTCACGCCAGCGGGAGCGGGACACACGGCCATACGTATGGGAGGTACAGAGATGGCAGGTACGACAACGGTTATAACCAGAGGGGTAGAAGCGACCGTGAAGAGCGATACAAACCTCGCAGGCGCAGCCCGTCGCGTAGTAGAAGCCCGAGGGGCGAGAGACGAAAGGGGAAAGGTGGCAGGAAACAGTAAGCCTTAAATCATGAAATTGAATAATTAAAGATCAAGCAGTGAAACACACGTCCCTGGCCTACCCTGAGTAGTTGAGAAGAGAAGTGAGAGACATGAGATTGACAAGAGAACTTCTGGTCACTTGCCTTTGCCTTTTTTTAGATCCCCGTCGCTGATGAAGTCTGAACCACTGAGTGAGAATCACGACCTATGGCCTAACCGCGCCTCTTGTGAGATGAACATCCCGGTATGGGAACGTGAGTTGAGGAGAGCGGGTCTCTTACCGAAGTTTCAAGACATCATCCACGGCTTGCGAAACAGGTTCCATCAAGGAATTTGGAATGCAGTCGTCCCGGGTGTCCCATTTTATTGTCCACCCAACCACACGTCAGCTCTGACGGCAAGACAGAAAATAGAGGAATCATTCGCGTTAGAGTTGAAAGAAGGGCGAATGTTTGGCCCTTTCACAAAAGAGGAAGTGAACTCACGAATCGGGTTTTTCCGTACCAGCCCGTTGGGAGCAGTTGTAAACTCCAACGGTTCCACGAGGCCGATAAACGATCTTTCCTTCCCTCGGAACAACCCATTAATCCAGTCCGTGAACGCGGAAGTGAACAAAGACGACTTCATAACAAGCTGGGATGACTTCAACATCGTAGTGAATTTCCTGTCAAAAATTGGAGTCCCAGTGTAGTTAGCGATAATAGACTGGGCGAAGGCATATAGGCAGATACCTACTGCGCCAGGCCAATGGAGGTACCTAATGCTACTCACCTTCCAAAACATGATCTTAGTAGATACGCGTATAACCTTCGGCGGAGTCGCTGGATGCGGCAGCTTCGGAAGGGTCGCCGACGCATGGAAGGCGGTCATGCTTCACAGGTTCCTGCTTCTCGCAGCCTTCCGCTGGGTAGACGACACAATGTTCGTCAGAGAAAAGGGCCGCCTTGACGTGAAACTAGACGACATTTCAAACCTTAGCCAAGAGATGGGAGTCGTGGAAAACAAGGAGAAACGCCACGACTTCGGAGTAGAGCAGAAGTACCTTGGTTTCGTTTGGAACGGAACACATAAATCAGTGCGCCTCCCAAAAGAAAAGATCGAGCAGAGGATGGCCGAGATCGCCAGATTCTTAGAAGGAAAGACACACACTCACAAAGAAACCGAAAAGCTCGCAGGTCGGTTAGTACACACGTCCATGATTATACCCCAGATGCGATGCCACACAGTGGACATCTATCACTGGCTAGCGGAATGGGTCCACAAGTCAGCGAAACGCGAGTTACCGGAAAGTGTGCGGACAGACTTACAACTTTGGTTAGAAACCTTGGGAAAAACAAACCCAGTTCGCCTACTGCCCAAACCAGAGGTGTTGAACGTGGGTTGGGTCGGCGACGCCTCCACGTCGTATGGCATCGGAATCATCATTGGGAAGCATTGGGCGAGGTTCGCATTAAAGCGGGGTTGGGATTCGAGGCGAGAAGATGGGGAAAGGAGGGGAATCGCTTGGGCCGAGACAGCCGCGGTGCGTTTAGGGTTCTTGATGTTGAAAACGATCTATAGAGTCGAGGGAAAGCGGTTCCTGTGTTTGACAGACAACACAGTGACAGAAGGGGCTATCAGGAATGGGAAATCACGCGATAGGATGGTAAACGAGGAGTGGGCACGGCTACAGGACTCACTAATTCAAAACCACTGCTGTGTGAAGATAAAACGCGTCACGACAGAGGACAATGCCGCTGACCTCCTGTCCAGGGGCATAGATTCCGCCAAACATGTGTCAAATGAGGTGACGATAAATCTGCCGAACGACTTACGACATCTCCTGCGGCAAGAATAACCCAACTAGCCTCATCCAACATCATACCTCCGGCGCGATGGATAACCTACCAAAGCACTTTCAAAACGCCAGCGAAAGGGCATCAAAAGCGGGTTGTCACGCTGCCTGAAGGAGTTGGGCCACGTCAACCCTAGCAGGCTACTCGTCCGGGATGACCAAGTATATCGAGTACAAGACAAAAACGGCGGGAAGATTTGACGAAGATGAGGAAGTCAGCGCGAAAGACATCTACGGTTTTATCGCATGGGCAGACGACGGAGAGGCAGAGGACGGCCCCGCACGAGCGATAAGTTCGGTAACCATTAAGAAGTATTTAGACGGTGTCAGGGCTTGGCACATCGTCAAACACCTGACAATTCCCAAATCCGACCCAGCTATCGTGGCGACTCTCCTGAGAGCATCAAAGAATGGCGAGGAAGCACAACAGTTAGTGACTGTAAAGAATCCAATTATGATTCGGCAGCTATTTGAACTCCTGCTCAAGACGTACGGGAAATCGGAGACGGAGGAGCTTATAGGAACCGTAGGATTGGTGGCCTTCTGGGGAGTAACACGACTAGGTGAATTGTTGCGAAAATCAGCGGCGGAAGGAGCCCTTCTTCGTCGGCACGTAGAGTTCGGATCTAGACGGGGAAAGAACTTCGTTAGGCTCCATCTCAGAAAGGCTAAAACGGCGAAACCGGTGTGGAAATCAGAATTGGGGTAACCCCATTATTTTATTAACTTTCATTTTAAAATACGAGAAACTACATTTTTTAGAACATTACATCAATAATGTGTTTTTAAATTAGTTCTTTATTTAGTTCATTTCTTTTTTTTCATTTTCTTTCTTTCTTTACTTAATTTCAATTTTCAATTTTTATTTTTTATTTTTTATCTTATTTAGTTTGATCATATATGTCAAGTTTTATTATGTGAAGTGTTATATTTTTATTTCTCTATTTTTCTTTTTATGGGTTATGTAGTTTGATGGATGAGGTGTAGTGTAAAATGAAGTCAAATTTCGAATTTATGGGTTTAGAGGTTATGTGTAGTTGAATGTTGTATGGGTTACATAGGGTGTACAGGCTTAAACTTGAAATTTCGAATTTTATGGGTTTAAAAAGTCATGGTTACAGATGTGTATGGTTTTAACAAGTTATGTGTAGAGGAATCATGGTTTTGAGGTATGGGTTTAAATAAGGCTGAATTTCGAAAATCCAGCAACTCAGACAGATGGTGGTAAACTGGGGTGGTGGTAAACTGGGGTGGTAAACTGAAAAAGCAAGTAGGGATCGGTGTGAAATTATAAATTCATCAGATTATCAAACACCAATATTGGCAAATACAAAATCACAAATGAAAAGGATGATTTTGAAACTCGAAAATGGCTTTCAAAATTCCATAAAAGGCTCCATTTTCAATCATGAGACTTTATTTCAAATGTACTACATCAGTTTTTCAGAGGGTAAATCATGTGGAAGGCATCATATGGGCGCATCTGAGCATGAAAAATCAATTATAAA